AAACTTGTTTGAATGAATTAAAAGTCCCCTCCCCCCCGCTAACAGCCCAGTACCGATTCGCCAGCTCTCGACGCTACCTTATCGACACTTGGCGACTTCTTCTTCTTCTTCCGAATGGACTTCTCGATCTTGATCTCATCAGTCGAATCGAGCTGCGTCCTTTCCTTCTTCTTTTTCGGTGCCTTCCGTGACATTAATGGGGCCATCAGGTCGGCCATCATCTCCGTGGTCCCCTTCTTTTTCGTTTTCTTTTTGCGCCGCGATTGGTCGGCTGAAAAACAATACACAATTTTTCCAAAAAATGTTTCATAAAATTTTAAAATCTCGTGAATTTTGCCTCGAATAATCAGCAATTTTCCCGAGCGCGTGAAAAAGCTTCTACTTTCCGGGTATCAAAAACCAGAAATGACAACTTGATTACCGTACCCATTCTGAAGACACTGACGAGTTTCTTGTGAAAAGTATAAGCGAATACAGCGATTGCGAAGCGCGTGAGACAGTAGGAAAAGGGGCGAAAATGGGGGCCAGCCAACGCTTTATCGATGAAAAACCGATGCCAATCGCGAGGGATTTCCGGTGGGATTCAAATGTTTCAAGCAAAAGATATGATATGAATAGCTAAGCCATTTTAATTCCGACCAGGGTTGAAAAGCCGCTTCGCGACTTTTCAACCCTGGCCCCGTCCAACCCCATCAGATTCTTCTCTCTGCATACGTCTTTCGATTTCCGATGAGAAAAATGAAAAATTCTACTCTCTCGGGTTATATATAGACCGCCGCAGCTTCCGGCGTATACTAATTATTTCCTAACAAAGAAGGCTGCCCTATTTTTCAACAAAAACTTAAATTTAATGCCGAAAACAGCTGAATTTGTAAAAACTGATATTGGTGCAGTCATCTCAAGACCGTTACGCATCTAATGACGTATCAAACATACCTTAAAAACCTTCCCTTTCCGAGATATCCTCCGGACAGAATGACGGAAGTTGCATGCAAAGTGGCACTGACACACACACAGACACTATTTTTTTATATATAGTAGGATGCGCTTGCAAACAGACGTAATAATGGGCATTTTAATCGCGTTTTTCGTCAAATTTCATTATGTCAAAGTGGAAATTAGAAAACTAGCAAAAATAGTGAAAATTAAAAAATTGGTATTTTGTGGTTTCTAATAAAAATTTGTGCAGTCTTACCTTTAGTAAAATTAAAAACATTTTAGAAACGGTGTCCTATTTGTACCGAAAAATCGATTCTTAATGAAAAGCATCCTCAAGAATCTCTGCTAGCCTGCCTCTTCTCTATCGGGCAGCTGCGAGTAAATCTTCGAATAATCCCTGCTGGGCTCACCCTTGGCTCGCGGCATTGGATCTTCCGCTTTTCCTCAAGGATCTCTGCTAGCCTGCCTTTTCTCTATGCTTCGACGTTCAGTCGAATTCTCAATCACCGCTAAATTGAGTTAATTGCGTAAGCGTGAGGGCCAGAATCAAAACGAAACACATGATCTCAATTTTTAAAAGATCACGTTGCGGTCCGGTGCGTGGTAGGTATCGTTTCAAGTTTTTTTTTGTCCAGGGATCCATCTGTCCTGAAGAATAACTGCTTGCCTGCCTTTTTCTATCCAGCTTTTTACCAATCTTCCGAAAGAATCTCCACTAGCCTGCCTTTTTTGCTTTTCCGAATTTTTCGACCAATACCACCATAAAAATTAAGTTAGCACGAAATCGGGAAATTCTAAATTTAAACGAAACACATCATTTCCAACTTGATATGTTTTAGAATTTTTAAAAATTACAAAAATTTTCTGCGCAGCAATTCAATGCGTGGGAGGTCTCGTTTCAGGTTTTTCTGTCTGCCCGTCTGTCTGCCTGTCTTTCCGTTTGTTTGCCTGTCCGCACCAGTCAAGTGGTAATCGAGTGTAGGCCATGCAACGGCCAAAAAGGTTACAGTTTTGGCAATTTTAAGGAAAAGGTTGTTGTTACTTTGAACTGTCAAATTGTCGCTCTCTCTCTCTCTCTCTCTCTCTCTCTCTCTCTCTCCTTCACTACACACAGCACCCATTTACACGACATGTTTTGTGCGTAGTTGGGGGAAGTGGCGGAACAATTAGAGTCCTCCCCCCACCTTGCATTCATTCGATGTCTGGGGCGGCCGCTATCAAATTATCCGGGAGATCAGAGCGAGAGAGAGAGAGAGAGAGAGAGAGAGAGAGAGAGAGAGAGATAAAAAGATATTCCGAGCGGAAAACTGTGTTGGAGACAAGGTCGTCGATCGCCGTTTGTCCCCAGCACCCATCCACGGCCAATCTTTCCATTCGCGCCCGCGAAAAAAAGATTGTGGCTGCGGCTATTTCTGGAAACTTGTGGGATTTTTATGACTATTTAAAATTCTTAAAAATTGAAAATTGTGGTGGGATTGATAAAGTCATTGCGAGAAAAATCGAGCCACATAGCTGTTTATTTGCTAAAACATTTTTTTATGCGACTGGAAATGCAGAAGTTTTACTATAGAATTTTCGTCTGCTATTTTTTTAATCACATTAAAATTGATCCCTTTTGTTTTTTTGTTTTAATCATCTGGAGTTAAAAAGAAGAAATTTGTGGAAGAAGTTCGTGACACAGCCGTTAAAAAAAGAAGAAAACCGTCTTTTTTTCGTTTCAGCACCATTTTCCTTTCGTCGTTCCCGGCGATTTTAAATAATGTTAAAACTCTTTTAAAAGTTCGCAACCGTTAAAATAAGCTTCCTAATAAATTTCTATGTTTTTAGAATACTAAAATGATATTAAATAAACAACTTAAAAGTAGAGAGATCGTGAGAAAAATTAATCTAACCGTCCATAAGTTGTTTCTCGTTATAAATTCTCGAATCTAGGTATTTTTTTAATCATAATTTTTTGAAACACGTTTTACCCCCCAGTTTTTCATTTTCCTATGTAAATGTTCCTAGAAAAAAAAGAGAATTTGTGGAGTGTTTGATGTTCTAAAGTTCTCTCTAAATTCTCGAGGTCAGCGCCGGCAATTGCGGGGGGGTCAGTCAGGTAAGCGGGTTGTAGATAATTAGCCGCCATCGCCGAGCAGAGCGTCCGCCATTTCGCCAAATTCCACCCGGGGTTCGGCCCAATTCCCATTTACGTCGTTTCTCTTTTCGGAAAATTTAGGGCTCACTAGATTCAAGAAAACACTTACTCATCTTTTCTGAACTCTTTAAAAAACGCCAAAAATCACGGTAGACAAAAACCGTGTTTCAATTTTTTTTAAACAAACCAAATTCAAAATCCTTTAATCGTGATCCAGTAATTTTTTACCACGGTTCCACCTCTAATTTTCGAATACTTAAAAAACTGGCTCATCGTTACTGTCCTTAAAAAAGGAAAAATCACGACAGAAAAAAAAATCGTGTTTCAATTTTTTTAAATGCCGGAAATTAAAAATTTTTTTGTTGTTTTGATCTATTATTATCCCCCCCCCCACTAACAGTCCAGTGCCATTTTTCCGTTAAAACTACAGACAGCCGGATCTATAAAGCGGGATTTTTCTCTAGAATCTCCTGGAAAAAACAGAGCAATGGGATATCCAGTCGAAAGTAGTGCTCGCTCGGGGAAACGGAACGAGGAGCAGCTCGTATTTTGCGTTTTTTAGGTTATCTTTCTCTATCTCTCTTCTCTCTATCTCTCTCTCTCTCCTCTCTCTCTCTCCTCTGTCTGTCTACCCATTTTGCTATTTGTCCCGGTGTGCCTTCCTTTCGTTATTTCCGCTTTTCTCTGCGGTGATTGCGGTCGAAAAATGGCTGGAAAAGGCGGAACGGTGGCGGGATGGGTGATTGATTCGTCAATGGCCCCGTCGCGCACCGTTCCTCTGCCTGGGAACCATTTTTCCCGAAAAATTTTAGTGTTTCAATTTTCCGCAGGAATCACTGTTAGCTTGCGTTTTTAATAGTCGACGACCTGCTCTCTTTATTCAGCAATCTAGGACTTCCTAAAGAATCTCTGTTGGCTTGCCTTCTCAATTTGAAAGAATTTATCAGCTTTATTATGGACATCTCCAGAATCTCTGCTGGATGGCCCCCTCGAATTTTAACAAGCAGCCGATTTTTCGCTTTTCCTAAAGAATCCCTGCAAGCTGGCCTTTAGAGAGATCTTCCTTTTCATGCGGTTTGGCTTCAGCTTTTCTTGGAAATCGCTGGCAGCTTTGTTTTTTCACAGCAGTGTCGCTAGTTGGTACTGGACTGTTAGCGGGGGGAGACAAGGAAACCAAACAACCCCCGGCCCCCGCTAACAGACCAGTTCCCGGAAATCCTGCTAGCTTGCGTTTAGGAAGATTTTTCTTTTTCCGGTTTGGCTTCAGCTTTTCTAGAAAAACTGTGGGTGCCTGACGTTTTTTCAGCGCTTCGGCTAGGTGGTACTTGACTGTTAGCGGGGGGATAACAAGGAAACGAAACGACCCCCCGATAACGGACCAGTTCCCGCGCTGCTGGGTTCCCTAAAGAGTCTCTGTTAACCGAGCCCCAAAATGTTAAAAAGGTTCTAAGATCCACACCCAACATTACTGCGGCTTGCCCAAAAATCTTTGCTGGCTGCCCTTTATTTTAACTGTTTTTCTTTGCTTTATACAGCTTTATTTCGAGCCCCTAAAGAATCTCTTCTAGGTTGCGCTTTAGAGTTTTGTGAGAATTTTCTGTTTCATACTTTCTACAGGAAATTTCGTCCTCTTTTGAGCTGCAACGTTTAGGAATCTGATACAGTGAATTTTCGAAAAATAGATATTTGACTTTTTTGCTATGAAAAATCGACATTTTAAAAAAAGTGCTTCATCAATTCTCCATTAAGTGTAAATCTTGAGGCCTTTATTCACTGAAAGACCGTTTCAATTCATTTTAATTTTTTTTTGGTTCTTACTTTATTGCTGGTCCGGAATTTATCTAATATTTTCTATTGCGATTTTTTATGTAATAATAAATTATACAGCATTTATTATAGGTAATAGCCTTGGCACGGGGCTGCGATGACGATCTCCTACGATGAGGAGTTCTCCGGCCTTATGCTCCGGTGGCGCGGATCGCTCTGGAAGGTAGCGCATTTTTAATGGCTTTTAGAACGTTATAAAATTATCTAACGAATTAAAATGGGGTATTTTAGATTAAAGAATTAGAGACTTTACATCGTTTAAATAGTATTATCTAAATTAATGCGAAGCCAATTTAATCGAACCGAACGAAGAATACAATATGAAAGTTGAGGCTATTTTAAGAATGACGGTTTTGGAAACATCTGTTTTGTAGATACGGTGAAAGCCCTGTAAATTTTAGCTGATAACTTTAAAAACTTGAAACATTTTTTAATTTTTTTTTGTTTTGTAGATTTATTTAGTTTTATTGATTAAAACTCTTGCTTTTATAGCTGTAAATGTAATAATGTAGTCGAAAAATATAAACTAGGCAAAATCGGATCTAATGGGATTTTAAATAGATTATTTGTCGCGTTTTCAGGCCGTGCTAAAGGACATGATCGCCTTCTACATTGCCTACTACATCATTCTCACCTTCCAGGTATCGTAAAAATTGAAGCAAAATCTGGCTTGAATTTTCTTACGCCTAAAAAGCTTGATTTGCTGCTTAAAAGCCTTTTTCTGATTTCAAAGTATTTATTTTTTCTAGTTGAAATATTTTTTACTAAAAGATTATTTTTAGTACTACTTTTTGGATGAGAAGGGCAAAGAGTACTTTACCGGCTGGATCAACTGGTGCGAGATTGGGTCTCAATATATTCCGCTGTCATTCCTCCTCGGTTTCTTCGTGTCGGTCATCGTTGCCAGATGGTTGGTGTATTAACGATTCATTTTAATCATTTAAACATGTTGAAATGTGGTATTTATCTTTGCTATTCCAGGCAACTCACATTGATTCAGGAAAATTCAGCCCGAGGCTATAAAACTTTGAAATATCACTTTGTTGGAAATTTTTTCATCTCTCTCCCTTTCTCACACACACTCTCTCTCTCTCTCTCTCTCTCTCTCTCTCTCTCTCTCTCTATCTGCATCCCGTGCCTCATTCTCCTTCACTCTCTGGTACTCAAGCTCTCGTTCTCTCTCATTCATTCCCTTTTCTTTCTCTTTCTCTGTCTCTCACCCTCACTCTCGCATCCTGATCTTAATACTTCAATTCCAGATCCCCAAATTTCCCCAATTCCAGATCTTAAAACCTCTGGCCCAGATCTCTTTTCATTCCCAAAGCATCTCTGCTAGACACCTACCGATTTTCCTGCTGTCAGACTCCCTTTAAAGCAACCGATAAGGCAGGGTTCTCGATTTTATTTCCTTGGATATATATTTACCAGGCGCGCGACAGGCCGGAATCAAATCCAGGCTCAAAAGCGTGGATAGTTTTGCCTTACCAGCACCTTTAAGACGGTTTATAATTAAAACATTTTCAGTAAAAAACGAATATAATGAAACGAAAAGCGCTATTTCCAGGTGGGAGCAATTCAATTGGATCTCATGGCCCGACAAAATGATGATGATGGTTGCTGCCTGTTTGCCTGGACGCGAAAACCTTGCCGTGCGCGAGGCCATCGCCCGCTGGAGCAGCTTGCAGGTATTCTAATTTGCATATTTAAAATGTATTGGAATAATTTTTACTAGTTTTTCGATAATAAGTTATAAGAGTTTTACTCTATCGAAAAAATGCAAGATGTATGTTTGACGATGGTTCCAAGTCAATGTGTTTGGAAATAGAGTAATTCGATTGAGTTGTGGCTAATATTTAAAAAAATTATAAAACTTTCTCAAAAACTTGTCTTCTAAATAATAATAAAATGCATCCTTCTGTAATTTTTCGCCTTTTGTCACGGCCCGTTATATCTATTGCACAATATGGGGGCAGTGCCGCCATAAGTTTTTGTGCAAAATTAATAAAATGCAATTTAGGCTGCCATTGCATGGTCTGGAATTTCGGTGCGCACGCTGAAGCGTTTCCCCACCGAGCGTCACTACGTTGATGCGAATCTGATGACCGAGCAGGAGTACGACCTGTTTATGAATCTCGAGGCGCCCCATGGAAAATGGTACGATTTTTTTGATCGTTTAAAAGGCGGTTTCCGAGTCACCCGAACGGCCCCGATACTAGCTTGGTACAGTTTTTCTCGACCCTGTTTTTGGACGCCATCTGAAAGAGCGTAATCAAATTAGTAGGGCTGCATAGTTTTGAAAGTTTAAAATGTCGATTTTCGGGGTTTAAATGGCTGTTAAAGTTGCGTACCACGAAATATTATCTCGAAAAATACTCATCAGAAAAATCTGAAAATTTGTGACAATACAAATTTTAGGGTTCTGATCATTTCTCTAATACATTGTAACACCTGAAAATGACTAGAACATGGTTAAAACGTGTAATCGAAAGAGTTTTTTGCGATTTCCAGACGTAGGACAGTCGGCCGCCCGTTGAAACTATCGTAGAAAGATGCGCGCGAAAATTCTGCATCGAATGGTGTATCGCTTATCGAGCGGCCACCTGTCCGCATATCTTAAAAATATATAAAAAAATAGTGTCTGTGTGTGTGTGTGTATATTTGCATGCAACTTCCGTAAGTATGTACCGCACCTACAGCCTCAGGGGAAGGTTTTTAAGGTAGGTTTGATACGTCATTAGATGCGTAATGGTCCCGAGATGGGTGCACACGTATAAAATTTAAGAAAATCGGCCGTTTTCGCTATTAAAATTAAGTTTTTGTAAAGATATCCAAAAACCTCTTCGTTAGGGGGCAATTAGCATTGACCGGAAGTGGCCGTAGCCTATAAAAAGGGAGGGAGGGTGCGCTTTTCATTTTTTGGTGATCGGCATTCGGCAAGCCCTATGTAAAGTAAAAATTTGAGAAGTCCTAGACGGGGCCAGGGTTGAAAAGCCGCGAAGCGGTTTTTCAACCCTGGTATCTTAAAAATTGCGTTTAATGTGCGAAAAACGACGATTTTTGCGTATTTTGGGGCGTCTGGGAGGCGAGATAGTGGGGGACGGGCAGCGAGCCCCGACGGACAGAGAGCAGCCCTGGGGGAGCCGCTCGGATGCTGCAAGAGAGCAGCCACCTGGAGCACCCTCGCTGTCTCGCCCCTCTGCGCCGCCCGCACTCTCTCGCCTTTCCCGTCCCAGATTCCACGCAAAAATCATCGTTTTTCGCACATAAAACGCAATTTTTAAGATATGCGGACAGGTGGCCGCTCGATAAGCGATACACCATTCGATGCAGAATTTTCGCGCGCATCTTTCTACGATAGTTTCAACGGGCGGCCGACTGTCCTACGTATGGGAATTGCAAAAAACTCTTTTGAGTACACGATTTAACCATGTTCTAGTCATTTTCAGGTGTTGCAATGTATTAGAGAAATGATCAGAACCCTAAAATTCGTATTGTCACAAATTTTCTGATTTTTCGGATAAGTATTTTTCGAGATAATTTTTCGTGGTACGCAACTTTAACAGCCATTTCAACCCCGAAAATCGACATTTTAAACTTTCAAAACTATGCAGCCCTACTAATTCGACTACGCTCTTTCAGATGGCGTCACAAAACCGGGTCCAAAAAACTGTACCAAGCTAGTTCGGGTGACTGGGACATCGCCTTTTAATACTTGGTAAGATTGAAAAATTCCATAAAGCGTTATGCTACCATTTTGACGAAACATCATTTCTACGAAATTTCCTTTTTTTCGAAATTCATTGTCGAAATTGCGTTTTGTCGAAATAGATTTTTGACCGAATGATATTGCGACAAAATGTGTTTCGAAAAAAAATGCTATGCCGATGAAATATTAGTACCTTTCTTTCCACGCCTCGCTCATTTTTTCTGTGAAACACACAAAGTTCGAAGAGGCAATTTTAAGAAATTTCAGCCTTCGAACTAAACGATCAATTAGAAATTGTAGCTGCTTTCCATGTATGTAAAGTCATAAAACATTTTTTCCGCGGTCACTGTTTTTTAGGTTCTAGGAACCTCGAGAGTACGAGCGATTAATTATTTTCTTTTTCTTGCGGTCACTACAGTTTTTTGTTAAAAGACACTAACTGTATGAGAAACTAGGTACGTAAAATACCAATAAGGGCAGCGCCAAGCTTATAGTTAAAGCTGAGCGTACAAAATCAGTTAAATAGCACCTAAAAAGACTCGGTATTAGAACTTTCAAAATGTTTTGTTCTGCCACTAATCACGAAACAATTGATTTTCACATCCATTTCTACTTTTTTTAATCGTACGCAACTATTTTATCATTATTTGTGCGTGTTTTCCATTAACTCTATTAGGTTCGTGCCAATCGTGTGGATCCTGAACCTGATCAAGCGGTGCCACAAGGAGAAGCGCATCGATACCATCCAGCTTGACATGCTGCTCAAGCAGGTACTCGAGTTAAAAATACAGATTTTTCTTTGGTAGTTAAAATTTCCTATTATTGCTATTAATATAGTATTCTTTTAAGCAAAATATTTACATTGATTTACGCAAACAAAAAGGTACTTTAATGGCTTTCAAAATTCAAAATTTTCACAAATAGATGTGTTTCGAACTTAAATAAAAAAGGCGATGGGTTTGTTTGAGTAATCGGCTGGATTTGGCAGAATTTCAGCGTAAAATTAGGGTTATTTAAAACCGATTATTCCGATAAATTGTCGGAAACATTTAATTTTTAGAATTTTTTAATGGCTAAATTTTGTGATTATTAAAAGTCCAATAAAAATGGAATACAAATTGAATCGTAATGTTTCCAATTTTCTAAACCTTTTTTCAGCTATACTCCTACCGTGACGGGTTCGCCATGTTGTTCGTCTACGACTGGGTGAAGATCCCGCTCGTCTACACCCAGGTCAGATATCTTATTGGCCACATAAATTGTGATATTTTGTAAAAATAAAATGGAAAAAAGCATTTAGCTTGACGTGAGAAATTTAATTGTCATCAAAGTCTTGCAAATCTAATTATTAAAATCAATGCGGAGAGCATGGTATCCTTTGGCTGAAACACGTTTTTTTATCTCTGGCTTTGTTATTTTACAAAATTTTTGCAATTAATTTGTTCTTTTAAGGTACTATTATGCAGCATTCTTAAGATTTCATTAAAATATAGAATTAATCGTGCTTGGAAACGAATTGTAACAAATGATGAAAACGAGCTTAGATTCACATAATTATTAAGCCAAAAGTGTCACTTTTTCCTGCAACATTTTTTTAAAAACCCATAATTCCGAGGTGTCAGAATTAAAAATAAAGCTTTTTAACCCGGAAAACTGATGCCAAAAGTGGATGGCGATTTTAAAAAATTCAACAAAGGCCTTTAAAATTGGATTTGTCAAATTTAATTGATTAAACTTGCTAAATATCTTTTGCAGGTGGTGGCGATCGCCACGTACGGCTACTTCTTCATCTGCCTGCTTGGCCGACAGCCAAAACTCGACCAGAAGAGTATGGAGAAGGAAGTGACCATTCTGTTCCCGATTTTCACGACTTTTCAGGTATTTTACGCAGTATGAATTTTACATTTTAATATACATTTATTATTATACATTATTATTATACATTATTATTATTATATTATTATACATTTATTAAATTCAGATGTTGTTCTACCTGGGTTGGTTGAAGGTCGGACAGTACTTGATGAACCCTTTCGGCGAGGATGACGACGATTTTGGTATCTTTTATTGGCTAGAAAACGGATTAAAAATAACGAAACAACGTTTATCTATATATAGTAGGATGAAATGAACTTTAATCAATAAGCAGCTCTATAAAAAGTAAATATTAAAAAATGTTTCTACTAGTCCCGGATTTATTATTTGTCGACAGAGAGAGAGAGAGAGAGAGAGACAGAGAGAGCGAGAGAGATAGAGAAAGATTAGATTGAATTTTATTAAACCGTCTCTGGAGTGCGACCAAAAACGACCAAAATAATTTTATTTTATTTTATTGTTAGATTTAGCTAATTTGAACGTCATTATAAAAAACTCAGGGCACGAATAACCTTTTTAATAGCATTACTAAACTATTATATATCTTCAGCGCGTTCAGAAGCAGTAGAGATTATTTCAGGCGATCAAACAATTAATCCTGTCATTTAGAGCTGAACTACGTGTTGGACCGAAACACATGCATCGCCCACATGATGGCCACCGAGTTGGCCGATCAACTTCCCGACGTCGGAGGGCTGAATATGCACCCGATCATTCCGCACACAAGAGCCTCCTTCAAGATACAGGTAAACGAGCAGGGGCCATTGGGGAATGGTGGAATACGTAAAACTACAAAGTACGCGTGATCAGTCTTCAAAATGACTGAAAAGGGTTTTCCAGTGTCTTTTTTCTAAACCTAGAAGTGTCAGTAGCTTAATAGGAAGTATTTTAATAATCCTTTTAATAAAACAAAACTATATTTCACCTAGAAACTATTTCAAAATTTAACAACATCTACAAGTCGAGATTTTGGTAAAAGAATCGGTTATTTTCGGCATAAAAACCCGATATTTTTGTTATTTTTTGAGAAACCTGGGCAAATTTTTCACATCTAGGCCAGTAAAAAACGGTTCCGAAATTATAAACTAAAAATCAATAAAAACAAAGCCCAATTCGATTTGCAGGACGTCATCCCGAAATCGCATCTGGCCGCGTTCCGGCTGAGCGAGAACGAGATGCAGCTGATCCGGCCGGAAGTGCTGGATGAAGAGGTGAGCCGGATGAGCTGCTAGCAGGGATTCTTGTGGAAATCGAAGGGAAACGTTGTTTAATGCTTTTAGAGACATTAAAACCTCAAAAAAAACTTGCAGGCTCGCCTGATCGAAGAGGAGAAAAAAGGACAGCGACTTCGGCTGGGTGGACTTGTCAGAGCCATAGATAAAAAGTATGTTTTATTGATTATTCGATATTAATGGATGTAGGCCACCTTACTTTTTATACTTTAAAAACTTTTGGAACCACTTTTAACGCTAAAAGTTTCAGGCGGCACTCGAAAAACGACACGATCGACGAGCAACAAGAGTTGACAACCGAGGATGACAGTAGCTCAAAGGACAAGTGATAAGATGAGGGGAACTGTTGATGCTTTTCGATATTTATCTTTTTTTCAACTAATCAAAACATTCCAATCCCCATCCACATTCCCGCCAGATGCTATTACCGATTTCTCAGTGGTGCTACGCTATTGATGTGCCCAGAAAATAAATGATTCTAAATGACTTTTTACTATGCCTAAACGTAAAAAAACGGTAAAATTTTAATAAAAAGGTAAAAACTAAAAATGGCCGATTTTGACAAAAACCTAACCTTTTTGAAAGTTTTGAGAGATTGCCGGACACCTGCCCTAAAAGACACCTACCCTAAAAGACACCTGTCCTAAAAGACAACTGTCCTAAAGGACACCTGCCCTAAAGGACACCTGCCCTAAAAGACACCTGTCCTAAAGGACACCTGCCCTAGCCGTCTGTCCTAAAAATCACCTGTCCTAAAAATTTTTTGTACCGTATTGCACCCAATTATGTGCTTTGGAACGAAAATGTTAAAGGATAGATGAATTTTAGGACAGATGAAATGTCCTTAACGAAAAATATGACACATTTTGGTGCAATACGGTATAAAAAATTTTAGGACAGGTGATTTTTAGGACAGACGACTTTTAGGACAGGTGACTTTTAGGGCAGCTGTCCTTTAGGACAGGTGACTTTTAGGGCAGGTGTCTTTTAGGGCAGATGTCCGCCCACCGTTTTGAGATAGTTTTCTAGCTGAAATATGTTTATTTGACCAAAAAGATTATCAAAATAATTTCTCCGAAGTTGCTAGGCATTTCTAGACATATACCCCCCCGATAATGCCAAAGAACCAGAAGCCCAACGATCCCCACAAAGCTTCTTCAACCGCATCAACAATCTCTTAAAAACAGTTAACAGCAAATTATCATAATCGTAATCATATAAAAATATGGTAATATCAAACAGCACACTTTGCACAGGTCGCCATTTTCACTGTTTATTCACAAATAAAAAAAGCCGAGTCGAAGACATTGTTCCTTTTGTTGCTTTGGTTTGAATATTGTTGCGTCGTCTTCACTGGCTAGCCGCGACGGGTACGCTTCGGCGCGGCGGCGGTCGTCTTGGTGGCAGCCTTGCGCTTCGGCGCCGCGCGCTTCGGGGTCTAAAAGCGGGAGTAAAATTCCTTTCTCAATGTCCTCACCGCCTTCTTGGTGGTGGCCTTGGCGCTGCCGCGGGTGCGCGAGCGGTCCGAGCGATCAGAACGGGTCGAGCGATCCGAACGGGCCGAGCGATCCGAGCGGGTCGACCGGCCCGACCGATCCGACCTCGTCGAGCGGTCCGACACCGACGGGCTGCGCGTGGCACGGCCGCCGCGCGTCTTCTTCGTCTTGCGCTGCGTCCTCGACCGCGACGCCGACGACGACCCATCGCTGCTCGTGTCGCGGCCGCGAGCCGTGCGAAGCTGCTGGAAACAGACAAGGTTCTGGAGAGGAGAGAGTAACGAACCGTGCTCTGCCGCGAACGCGCGGTGCTGACCGAGGCCCGCGAGCCGGTGGATGAGGCGGAGGCGCTGCGGAGGGCGCGGGAGCGCGTCACGGCCGGGCTGGTGTCGAGGTGGCGGCCCTTCGCGGGGGTGCGCTTCGCTGGAGTCTTCGGCATGTTGTCGAGTAGTTTACGGTCGAGTAAGTCAGTTGCACAGCGCAACGTTTCAGTTTCTTTTATAGCAGGAGTTGCAGGGAAATTACCATGCTTTTCCCGGAAGTTGTGAATGCTAATTTGGGTGCAATGCATTGTTGAACTTTATTGCTCGCACTGCAAGTTGCTGGCCTACCAGAAAGTAAATTTTTTCCATTACCTAAGCGTTTTATGGCTTTTTAGTAATCAGAAAGTACAAAAACACTGTAAAGGCTGAATTCATTCAGCTTGATAATTTAAATACCTCCACCCCCGCTAACAGAACAATACCCATACCAATCCCTCAACGTAAAACACCAGCCAATCGAGAAAACGTTTATTCCCATAGTGATTTGTAAAAAGAAGGCGTAATACAGGTGAATTAGGCGGGGGCCATTCTACGGGGGCGGTCAATGTTGCGCGGTTTCGGTGTTGAGGCATGTGGCAGCGATCTTTTGGTTTTGGCTATCGGCCCTCAACCCGATTGCCCGGACAACGATCAACCTTACAAGCCACACAGGGTGGTAGAGCTCGTGCAAAATCTGTGTTCTCTTTTTGAGTACCCCAGAATTGGCCGAGTAATCATCAACATCTAGCAAAGCAGAAAACGACGCGTTCAAGAGAGACTCGTGTGTCAGCAGGGTGAAAGTGCACGGAAAATCCTGGGTCAGACGCATTGACGGGTTGCGGGGGCAATCAGGCTTACTCAACGTTCACAGGTTATAGTTTCTAGTTTTACAGGGCGTTATGCAACCGTTACCCCATCAATGCTCGGACCGAGAAAGCGCGACAGCAGGACAGCCGATCGAGGGAAGGGGGCAGACAACAAATACCAAATTCAGCTATAAGAAATTGAGAGAAGAACCCTCGAAAAGACGCTAAAACCAGCAACAAATCGGGCGGGGGCGTTTGGCTCAGAAAAAGTGGACCAACACGGGTATTGGGGGAGCGAAGAATGGAAACCGGGGTATGACGGGGGCATCGGGACGTTTTTCGAAAGTACAAATCAAGCTAAAAACCTTAAAACTGCAATCGCAAATGTATAAACGTCGGTAAGTGAGGCGGGATAGGGTGGGCTGATGCTTCTCGTTGTTAGGTGATGCAGACTTTCTGGCCGAGCACTTCCGACAGCCAGCGAGCCACGTCGTTGCTGTTCAACTAAAAAAAAAAGACTTTATGTAAGCCTAGAAATATCTGGTGGCTTAATAGACGTGTTGTAATAGCGTTTCTAGTAAGGTATGTCTATATTTAACCTAAAAAATCTATCTAAAAACTTTTGCAAATGTTCGAAAATGTCGAAGTTTTGGTCAAATTAGAACATTTTTCATCGAAAAATCGATATTTTTGAGATTTCTTAACCAAGGTTTCTAAAATTATTACGGTTAAAGATAGTAAAAACAGTTTAGAAACACTTCAGCTATTTACCTTTGAAAAATTGGCTCCTAAGCAAATAAATGTGGCCCCCCGTAATGCGAATGAACCAAGGGATGAAATATGCCAAGAAAACAAACCACAATGGGCAGCGTTGAGGTGGAGACGTTGCGCGTTTCGAGGACCTCGGTGTTTGTGCCAATCTCGGCCGTTTCGGTGACCTTCACAGGCGACGGCTCTTCGCGACGTTCCACGGGGACAGCGCTGCGTCGAGGGTCGTACTGCAAAAGTGGATAGAATTATTTTATCTAGAAAAAGATGGTACTGCAGTTCGGCACTAAATTTCCTTTTTTTCATAAGATGGCTAAAAGCCGACGAACTAAACCAAATGATATCGCGGTCCGAACTGCAGTACCATCGAATACCACAACAATGACATCCATGTCAAAAGCTTGACCATCCGATAAACTGAGCAAAAGAAACGTACGGTTCGTTGTTTCTGAATAAGCATACATAAGAAAAAGACACGCGAAAGAAGCTTACATCCTGATCGGAGTCGGGCGTCTGGCTGTTGGCCGAGTGATGGCCCTCGCGGGGCTCGGAAGGCGGCTGGGAGGACATCAACGAGTGTTGGACCATATTCGGCGGGACCGCGGCCGGCATCTGGATGGGCACCATGTTCGGCTGCGAGGCCCCCGGCTGCATCATGGGCACGAAGGGAGGAGGGTAGCGCTGAACGGGCACCTAATGCTACTGTATTATACCGATCCATACCGTATTTCCTCTAGAAAAAGTTAAAAAGCTCTTAAATTAGAGGAAATACGGCATCCGCAAGAATCTACTCACTTGGTGCATTGGTGGGTGAAGGCCGGGTGGGAGCATCATTGGCGGCGGATGCGGCATGCCCATCTGCTGGGATTGCGCCTGATTGGCGATGAACGCGGCCGCTTGCTCGTAGGAGGGATATTGCATCCCGAAGGGCAACTAAAACAAGGGTCATGGATGCTTTTCCTTTAGACTGGGGGAGGGGTTTGACTTTTCTTTTTTTTTCTTCATGGCCAAAAATAATATTGACAGTATTTTCAGTCATTTTTTTCCGCTAGAAAATCCGAAAAGATATTTTGACTTTTATTTGGCCTTTTTCGTTACGTTTTTTACCAAAAACTGGAACGTTTGATATCCAAAAAATGCTGCAAAATGCTATGGAATCGTTCATGATCACGGAATGATCCCCCCACGCTAAATGATCAGCACGCTAAAGTGCACCAGAAAAACCATACATCTCCAAGCAGCGCCTTCCAATCACCCAACGAGTGCCAGTTGTTCTCATGCTCGATCTTGATCAAGATCCCATCGTGGAAATAGTTGGACTGCGTCCATTGCAACATTTGTTTCGGGGAGAACGGGCCTAAAAGCTCAATAAACGCTAGAAAATAGGAAGCTGACCATAATAACCATCATCCGGGCCCATATAGCACCACTGAATCTCCATTCGAGAGTTCCTTGGGGGCTCCATCGTCGAAGGAGAACGAGTTACCTAAATCACAATTTGCAAGGCCTCCTCACTAAAAAAACGTTCAAAAAGGTGAGCTCGAGCGGAAGATATCCGATTGGCATCAAGACCAAGCAATGAGGCGCACATAAAATGGTAATAGAACTCTTTATTCAATGAAAATGTAAATTAATCCATTTCTTCTTCATCGAACCATCTGTCTTGAAGGTCGCGCTCTCGTATCGTGTCCCTTTCATCAATTGAAGCGTCGTTGTCCACCTTCGAATAGTCGAAAAATCTAGGAAAATGAGTTGATTCATGCGCAAAGGTTTTACTTTGTATCCTTGCCGGCCATAAAGCGATCCTCCATATACGCCAGGAATTCTTCGCGTTCGGTTCCAGGAGTGACATCATCTGCCTCGTCCAACTAAACAATATGATGTTGATAAAAAGGCAATTTCACCCCCAGCACGATGTCGTTGTGGATCTTGTCGACCTCATCCTTCATCTGATGCATCTTTGCGACTCCTGGCTTCCGCGGCTCATCCCCTTCATCCTCGTCGTCATCGGGCACGAATTGGTCGAGCTTGTTTTCCACGTGCGACATGAACCTCGACTTGAATTCGCCCTAAACAGGTAGGTGGACCGGAGAATTTCGGAAATATAATACCATCGGTGGACCATCTTTTGCATCACGTGTCCACGTTGTGTCGTGCTCATTCCGCCGCTCAGCCACCTCCATACTGTCTTCAAACTGCTGCATCATTCCCGACCATCCGGGGCGCTCGACGGTAGGCCGCAGTTGATGCTGCTCTAATACCAAATAAAAATTTTCACTCCTAAAATATACGTACCGGCCTCTTCCAAATGTCTGCCAATCATCCTATCAAAAAGCAGCGGCTCGCGCTCCCGCATCTTTTCATGCGAGAAATACCTGCAACAAAATAATTTGAAATACGGATTTTACTCACTTGCCCTCCTTCTTTAGATTTTCCAGGGCGGCGTAGCGGCGATTTCGAACTTGGCTTTTGGACGGCGTCGAGAGGGCTGTCGTCTCCGGCTCCTCAGCAGCACCGTGCGACGTAACGGGCGTCTCTCGCTTCCGGATTTGCGTCAAAAAGTGCTTCACGATAAAATCGGTGTCGTCATCGAACAACGGACAATCCTCCAATCGCATGTAACTAAACAAGAAAATCATAAAAACCACATCTACGGCCAGCTCACTTGTTATACCGCTGTAGAAACAGCGACTTGTTCTCGCGGAAGAGGTCGGCGACAATTTTCCGCTTCCCCTCGTCGTCGATGGGCGGCGGTCTCTCAGACTCCGGTTCCGCTGGCAAATCCTCATCCTGATAGCAGAAATAAGCGTTGGGAGCGGAAACGATTCGTTCAAAGAGAACATCCATCCTAAAGAATGGAAAGTTAGTATGACTGGAGGGCGGTAAAAAGGCAGAAAAAGCTGCACAGGCAAGTTCAAAAAAGGGAAATAGGCGAAGAACGGAAAGAGAGCGAGAATAACATTGCGCCCACGAGATAATACTCTCTAAAGTCAGGAAAATACGGTTAAAAGCCAAAACTTCTCGTTACTAAACTGTGAATAAGGGGCTTTCGCCGCACGCTAAAGCCTATTTTTAAGGGATCATAAGCCTCTACAAAGCCCGGTAAGAAGCCGAATGAGTCAACAATAGTATGAGCTAAGAATTCAATCAATTTCGAGAAGCCGAAAACGGCGAGATTCAGCGCGCGGGCGGGCGCATTTTTTGCCATTTCGATATTGCGGGAATTCGGAGTTTGGGTCCCACAGCGGGATGATTGCGGCCGCGTGGACGAATACGGCTCTGCCGCCCAGTGAAATAATGTATTATCAAAGCAAATCTCTGAAAATAAAAATAAATTTTGCTTTCTAAATAATAGAAAAATGCTTTATCTTTTGCAAAACCGAGAAAAAGTGGAATATAAAAAAATTCGCCATCGACGATTGTCTGGTTTGCTCCCTGGACCACTGGCTGGAAAATGCCACTAACGAAAATTTTCGTCTGCCTTTTCTCTTCCGCTATTTTCCCGATTCTTTTTTATATGCAAACAAAAATTGGTTTTGCAAGACCAAGAAAAATGAATCTGAAAAGCGCTATCCTCAAGCTTGCTCTGATCACGTAAGCGCTGACTCGGAAAGGATAATGACGAAAATTTTAGTTTAGCTTTATTGGGACTGCTACTTTTCTTATTATTGTTTTCTAGAGCTTGTATAAAATCACTTTTCAGGTAAAAATGGCAGCCGCAGCGGTTGCTTCCGCCCCGGCGGAGCCCACGCGCAAGCGGAGCAGGTAACGGCCTAATACAGCCTTTTTCTAAATGTTTTAATTTCAGATTTGTGATGTCCGAGCATAACCTTGGGCTGATGCAAGAAATTGTGCGCAAGGATCCGGAATCTTATCGAGAGGTATTGAACATCAAAGTCCCCTGTCAACGTCCGGCTTTAGGAGTTTATGATGCAGTATCAATACTATCTGCACACCATCAAACTGCTCCATCTTCAACCAGAGGTCAGCAAGTTGGACATCCAGCCACTGCTCGACTCGATCATTTTCCTACAAGGAGTCGCACAGTTCTATCCAAGTAAGTGACATTATAGAGACAAGAAGATTTCTTCTAGCCGAAGCAAAATCGTTCTCGGACACGCTGTTGATGATTCTACGGGAACAGTCGACCGGGCTGAACCCCGAGGTGAGCTTTACTCCATTTTGTGACACATAATTTTTAGGTCCGCCTACAATTTTGCAAGTCCCTCATCTGCCTAAGAAACAAGAACCTCGTCGACCCGTTAGTGTTGACGGAGTTGCTCTTCGACTTGACACGGATCGAGGATAAACGGCTGAGGTTTCACGAAGCTCAAAAGTTCTACGTCTTTTTAGAAAATTCATTCTCGCCGCCGTCGCTGCGCACATCAAGCGCTTGAGCATCAAACGAGACGGGAAAACGCTGGGGAAAATGCAAAATTTTTGCATCGCCAAGTTGAAGGTAACGAGACGGCGAGTATGTAGAAATCATTGCTCTTTAGGATTCTCGTTCCATCGTCGCTCGTGCCGCTCAACTCGTGTTGATCGACGCGTTCCGCCGAAACTTTTGGCGTGATGCGAAGACGGTGAACGCCGTAGCCGAATGCTGTTTCCACAAACTGCCCAAGGTTCAGGTAAATCGGGTTTTCATTAGGCCTTTCTGTGTGAAAACGAGTCCACCAGCTAGTCTGTTAACATTTTTTCATTTCAGATCGCGGCTATGAAATTTTTCCTGGGCACCAAAGAAGACGAGGAGGGCATTGAGTACGATTCGGCCGACGAGGACGAGAAAGAGGAGAAAGAGGCTCAGCAAAAAACCCTGAAAGACGTGAGGATCTAAAGCTGTTAATTTCATGCTTTATTTAGATCATGCAATCGTATCGGCACGCGAAGAAGACTGCCAAACGCACCAAGGATTTTGAGAAGGCGAAAAAGGCGCTGAACAAGAAGCGAAAATCGAAGAAAGAGGGCCGTTCCCGCGAGTGCAACCTGATGGCCATCCAGATGATCTACGACCCGCAGGAGCTGTCCGATCGGCTGTACGGGTTGCTCGAGCAGAAGAAGGTCGACAAGTTTGAGGTGCGTGTTTAGTTTTGCTTAAATTTCCAGTTAAACAATATTTTTCCCTTTTTCCAGGTGTGAAAGACAATTTAGATGACCTAGAAAACTGCATAAAAAGTTTGGGTTGTGGTCGAACACGCGATTTTTTTTGGGTTTAAAAATATTTTTAATGGATGAAAATACTAAGGCATCAATAAAATACTGTCAAGAATAACCTATTTCTTTAGGTCCGCCTCTTCCGCATCGCGTTGATCGCCCGCCTGCTAGGTATCCACAAGCTGCAAACACTGGGCTTCTACTCGTATCTGCATCGCTACCTGCAGCCGCGTCAGCGAGATGTCACCCGTATTTTGCTGTACGCCGCCCAGGCTTGTCACGACCTGGTGCCGCCGGACACAATCGAGCAGCTCATCCGCTGCATTGCGCAGAACTTTATTTCGGACAGGTATACCTGCGGTTTTGCTTAATCTTTCGTAATGGTTCCAAAGGCCAAGATTGTCTAGTGACGTCATAGAAAGCCGTTCCTACTTTTATTAAATTTTGGCTGACGGTAAAGGATAAGAAATGCTTTATCAACTTACACATTTGTAACGCCTTGAACCAACCTCAACGTGCAGTAAACAACTGATTTCCGGAGCGATTGCCATGAAAGACAACCCACTTTTGCAGGAATTCTCCCGAGGCGATGACTGTCGGAATCAACGCAGTCCGCGAAATTCTGGTCAACTGCCCTTTCGCCGCTACCGAGGAACTGATGAGAGACCTGGCCGAGGTAATTTTGTAAGCCAGAAACTTATTAGTTTTTAGTACAAACAATACAAAAACAAAAACGTGTCGATGGCGGCGAAGGGCCTGATCGCGCTGTGCCGCACCGTCAACCCAAAGTTGCTGAAAAAGAAGGATCGGGGCCGTCCCGTGGACAATGAAGATACCGAGGATAAAGAGTGCGTTTTATCTCTCTAACATTTTTTATGGTATTTAGATACTTTGCGTTCGGCGCGCCAATCGTTCGCGATTTCGTGCCCGGTGCCGAGGTGCTGGCCGATGACGCTGGCGATGAGGATGAGGTACGATTTATTGCTAGTTTCAAACTATTATTTTTAGGAGGCTGAAGTTTCCGCTTCTGAAAACGATAGTGATGATGAGGGCGAATGGACACAAGTCGTCAGTGAATCGGGTAAGCGCCATTTTTAATTTTGTCAAGCTCATTTTCGAAGAGGAGGAGTCTGACTCGGAAGGACCGGCCCCGAAAAAGAAGAAGCTATCGGCTGACGAGGATGACGACGAGATTGTGGAAATTGAGGATGAGGAGGTGCGTAGTAATGCCGAGTTTTTCCCTATTTTCAGGATTCCGACGAGGAGGGCGAAGACGGTGAAGAGGTGGAAGACGAGGATGAGGAGGAGGGAAGTGAAGACGATGATGTCGACGAGGAGGAAGAGGATGAGGCTGATGCCTCACTGAGCACCAGCAAGGCTGAATCTGTGGCAGCTGATGAGCAGAAGCCGGATGAGAAAGTCAGTTTTTGTTTTTATTTCTGGTAAGCCACTTTCAGGCGGCGACCGTCAGCACAGATCGCATCCTCACTCAGTCCGACCATAAGAAGATCCGACAGTGGCAAATGAAAAAGCAGGTAAAAATCACTTGTTGTAGCTGATCATCCCGGGTTTAGATCCTTGGCGCAAAGAAGTTGGCCCGCGGCGGCAAAAAGCGCGAGCATTTGACGAACTCGGATCGAAAGATTGAGGAGGAAGTCCTGGAAACATTCCAAACGTAAGGATTTCTGTCAAATGCGATTGCGTAATGAACTGAAAAAAAAATCATTTGCTGAAAATCTCTATTTCAAAAAATTTATCTGCCGCGCTAATTCCAAAGTCGTATAATTCAAAGAACACGCCAATTTTTCGAATTTCCAGCCGCGAGACTCGCGACGGATTGCCCCGCCTCAACGCCATCGAACATTTCCACAAAAAGAAGAAGGAAACCAAGGCCGAGCGGATGGAACGGATCCAGGAGGGCAGGGAGGGCCGCGGCGAATTCGGGAAGCCGAAGAAGAACGTGCGTTTTTCAGCGAAAATCCAACGAACTTTTCTGCTTTCAGGGTCCCCACGTCGGCCGCACAAATCGGGAACAAGCCAAGAAGAAGGTCTTCTCAATGGTACGAGCGAAGAAGCGCGGCGAGAATCGGTAGATAGCCTTTCCGAGATTTACAAATTGTTTTAGGCAACGTTCATTCCGCGACCAGCAAAAAAGTCTTCGGAATTACCTGCTCCGTCAGTCCGGCCGGAAACCCGGCAATATGTAGGCGGCCGCTGTCATTTGCTTTTTGTGTTTCCCATTGTTTTGTTTCGTTGGTTTTGGTGTATTGCTGCATCGATTTCTTGTTGTTGTTGTTCATAGTTTACGTTGCGAATAAATTGTTGATTTTGGAGAAAAGGCGTAGAGTTGAATGAGGTGATCCGGCCAGAATATGGTTTTTGAGTCCTTTTAAGCTTTTATGCTATTTTTGCTAGCAAGGACGTCAGGGAAGATTTTAGGTGGGCATGGAGGCTCTTTTGATAGAGCGCGAAATTCTAAACAAAATCCCGGGTTCTTTCGCATTATCGGGGGGCGGCGGACGAAAGTCGAAATTGTGGTAAGAAATCCGCGATTCTTCGTCGAAAAGTCGTTATTTTGCTTTTTTTGATCACGATTTTAAATTTTTCACGTCAGCAGTGAAAAGAAAAGAACTGGACCTGCTTAGTCCTCAAGCTCTACCAGATCAGCCAGGGCACAGCAAAACTCCATTCGCACCTAGAAACGACTCCTTGTTAGACTTCCTCTAAAAACAGATTTAGGCCAAAAATCCGAAAATGGCACTTCGCGGCATCATCTGCCCGTCGATTTTGAACGCCGACTTGGCCGTGCTCGCCTCCGAGTGTAAGAAGCTGCTCGAACTGGGGTTTGTCTTTTGTGTTGGTGGAGGGAATAGATTTCGCAATTTCGCCGAACCGCTGAAAAGTAGCTTTGTTTAGCGCCGACTGGCTCCACCTCGATGTGATGGACGGGCACTTCGTGCCAAACCTCACTTTCGGACCCCCGTTGGTGCAGAGCCTGCGCAAAAATCTCGGCAGTCAGCCCTTCTTTGATGTGCATTTGATGGTAAATCCTGTTTAATAGCGGTGCATAAAAGAGTTTAAGGTCTCCGACCCCGCGTTTTGGGTGAAGCCGATGGCCGAGGCGGGCGCATCCGGCTACACGTTCCATTACGAGGCCGCCTTCGACAAGGTGATTTCCTTAGTTTTTGATAATTCACTTGTTTAGGGTGGGGAAGACGGTGTGGCCGCGATTATCAAGGACATCAAGGCCAACAAGATGCGTGTCGGCGTATCGGTGAAGCCGAAGACACCGGTTGACGTCGTCTTGCCGTGAGTTTCTGCTTGGTTGTAAGAATTTTTTTGGTTCTTTCGCATTATCCGGGTTATCTTAGGCTTTAGTTTTTCAAATATAAAGAGAGGAAATGTTTCTAAGCTCTTTTTACTAGTCCTCAACGTGGAAACCTTACAAATCTCCTTGAAAAGTACAAAATATATAGATTTTCGACCAAAAATGGCCCTCTTTTACGAAATTTCGACTTTTTGAAGATTTGGGGGGATTTATCGTTGAATATAGATTTATTTCACCAATAACGCTATTAAAACACTTCCTATTAAGTTAATAGGCATTCCTAGACTTATGCAAAAATGTTTGTCCCCTCCCCCCGATATTGCGAAAGAACCGAATTGTACCATGCACCTTTTTAGCTACCTGGCCGACATCGACATGGTGCTCGTGATGACGGTCGAGCCGGGCTTTGGCGGCCAGAAGTTTATGGAGGACATGATGGGCAAGGTGCGTTCTTTGAATTTCGTGAAAATATGACAACTTTTTTTACAGGTGACGACCCTGCGAAAGGCGCGCCCGGATTTGGATATCCAAGTGGACGGTGGTGTGACTGCGGATAATATCGAAATCTGCGCCAAGGCCGGGGCCAACGTTGTCGTGTCGGGCACAGGGATTATTAAGGTGAGGTATTCTATACGCTTTTTCGCGGCTTCTGGCTCTTACAAGCTAACCAAGAAAATTCAGGCAAGCGACCCAGCCGGTGTGATCAAGAAAATGCGCGACGCGATCACCGCCAACTGCAGCCATTAATTATTAACCATACCATTGTCATTCAATATTACAGGTTGTGGTTTTTTTTTCTGAATCGGTAGTTATGCGAGTTTGTGATTTTGGCGTAGTTTACGGTTGGTTGAGGCCGAAATGTGGAATACAACAAGCACCCATAGTCGAGGTTCCAAGCCATACAGTTCACCACGTGTATTTCAACATTTATCGATGCAATATCGGGGAAGAAATGAGCAACAAGCTAACGCTCAAAGTCCACACTTACATAACAATAAAGCGGGGGCTAAATAATAAATGCGAGAACAAAAATCAACAAAAAGGTCGAGAGATCAGTCGCTGTGACGGGTCGGAGTCGACGGCTGGCTGCGCGGGCGATACGGCACGTACGGCGACTTCCGGGGCTCAGACGGGTTCGGCTCGGCAGGGGTCTGAAAGAACAAACATCGTTCTCAGCCCCTAGAAAGGCCAAAAAGGCCTACACTCAGCTCGTGCTCAAAATCGGCATAAATCTCAACCTGAGAGAAACTGTTTTCATTTTTTGTGAGTCTATAGCAAGTTTCAAAAAAATAGGAAGTGATACGCTTCCCCTAATCGAGTTTTATGCCAATCTTGAGCCCGAGCCCGTCACGCACAAAAGAAACAAACCGAGGGTGGCGATCCACTGAATCCGGCCGCTTCCCTGGTGGCTTGCTTGAGGCGGCTGGCGCCAGATCGCCGACGCCGGCCCGTGGCTTTACGGACCGATCGCCTGCTCACGGCTGGAGGTGGGGCGGCGGTCGCATCCGAGTTTTCCTACAAGAGTAAAAATTAATAAAACTAGGGGCGCACAAGGGATCGGTACATATCGGAGTTGGGACTTCTGATCTTTGACTATCCCGAACGGCCCGAGTTAAAAGTTTTGCCCGACTTCCTGGCGGAAACCTCAAAATTTCGAACTAAAGATACCCCCTTGAAGGTCCGAAGCGGCACGGATCATTTTCACGAACGGATCGCAAGGCAACACTTTGCGAAATGAAGTCACGGCCCGCCCGACTTCAATGAAAATGGCATATTTATATGGACCTTCAAAATCATATTCTGAACAAGATTCACCAGCTATTTTCGCCAGTCCCCGATCGATATGTGCCAACCGCTTGTGAGAAGAAATCCTCAAAAAATACCTGCAGCTTCTGGCCCCGTGGGCGACGTCTGCGGGAGCGCTTGGACGATCGTTGGTTCGGGGTCGACTGCGTTGCGATCGCGCCCTAGACACAAACGATTAAAATAGCTTGGCCGTTCTACCTGGTTGATCGTAGCCCTCTGGAAGCCACTGCCCGAGCTACCAGCCAGATTTCCAGCGATCCATGACGATGAGTGTGACTAAAACGGGATAATAGATGATAGAACTGCATGAGATACCATTACACCGCGTCTGGCGGCAGATCGGCGGCGCCTCGCGCTGAACGAGCGGTGCTTTGTCGACGAGGTCCACGCGCGGTCAAAGTCAGTCTACCAGTAAGTGTGCGTTTAAAGACCGCTAGAACTCTGGAACGCACACTGTCACCCCGAGGGTGGTGCCCCCAAGAACGCGCGGAGAGAGGCGTCATTAGTGGTGCCCCGTATTGGGCAAAGGCCCTCTGGGGTTTGGGGCACCCCTGACTCCCTTCCCCACTTGGCTCTGTGGTATAGTGGCTAGCGCGTTGGACTGTGGGTCGAACCATCGCGGGTTCGAGCCCCGCCCGGTGCACAACTTTCCTACTCTCAACGGAATTTCATCGTTCTGGCGGTCTTTAAACAAGGTAAAAATATCACCTCCTGACGTGGCGTAACGCGCAGTTCGTCCAGGGCGACGCCGTAGTTGTCGTTGCGCTGACCGGAGGATGTGGGTGAAAGACTTTCGTGGCGGCCGGCTACGTCACTGCTGCTCTGTGAGAAGGGCAGATCTCCATCCGATTCGGCCATCCCTTTGCCGTAATAACTCTAAAAATAACATTAGTCAAGGCATGGTGTAAAAAACCAGACCTCACCAATGGTCTGGAGCAAAGCTGTTTTTACAATTTATGTAAGTATGAATGCGATGCGACGGGCGTAAAGTTCTGCTAACGTTTGCCCAAAATTCCGCAGATTCTAACAAAGCGCCACTGTAAAAATTCAGTTTAATCGACTAAGCAAAGGTGCCCGACTTATGATCTGGTCCAGGAAAGCGGGGGCGGGTTCGAACCCCGCCGGTGGCAAACATTTTACTTTTTGCCAGGCCTTTCTTCAAGTTACCACGAAATAATGGAAATTAGTGCACCAGTCAAACAAAAATCACCTTAAAACCATCTCGGGCCTCGGTCAGACGGCTGCGTGCGTTGGACGTGGAGCGCGAGGGGAAAGACACCGGAGAACCGAAGCGCCTAAAAAAATTAAAATAGCTACATTTTCCAGAGTACCTCGGAGCCTCGGTGGTTTCCGGATCCTTGTTGGGCGGTTCTTCATCTTCGCCAGCTTCCGACGGCTCGGCGGTGTCGTAGCCATGTTTCTAGATAATGCTGTTGATCAAGTGAATGTAAAAAGGATTACCGTCCTCAATTCGGCAATGTTCTTCGAAAGCGCCTGCATCCTGGCCTCGGTGGGCTTGTACAGGGCCACGTTGCTGTCGTACCACCGTTGCATTTCGTCGACAATGGATTTCGGACTGTTAACTTCTATGAAGTCTGCAAAAAGATTTTTGAAGCAAACGGTAAGGTACGAACCTGGCAACAGCTTGAATAGCGCCTGAGTGCCCGTCATGTCTGGGAAGGCGCCGATCAAGTCCATCACGCCGGTGAACTCGGTCTCCGCATCAATTTGCGTCCAGGGGATCTGCGCAACGTTGTTTGCAAACTCAGACACCTACATACCTGGTCTTTCGCGTGGACGGCAACAGTTTTCGCCATGAACTCGTTGAAGACAAGGTGCTGCCAGGGTTTCGTGGCACTTTCCGATTTCTCTAGGTGGCGAAGGATCGGTTCGACGGTGTGGCGCGTCGCCCAGGAAGCCACGTGTTCGTCGAGGGCCACGAGAAGATCCTCTGCAAACATTAAATTGAAGGTGTTCAGAATTGCCAGAAAGCAACAGGGTGCAAAATTTAGCGCGGTCTCAAACAAGGGTCCGGATTTTGAAAGGAGACTGTTTTCACGAAGAAATCACGCAAAAATCAAACGACGGGAATCTTCTGGCATTCGAAAGACAAAAGCTCCCCTCCCAAAGCTGTTTCTATTTGGCACGTCTCAGTCCTGCAAAAAGATCGAAATTCATGCAAGGGAACTCGCAGATAACGCTTGAAAACGTACTGATCAGCGAATATCGTTGGCCGGCTTGCGTAGGAGTCGGCGGGGCATACAAATCGAGGACGGCACACACCAAGGTCGACCAGGAGACGGTGCCAGCGCTCGGGTGATCACCTAAACCTCACTAAATCAGCAAACACAATGGCGATACCGTCAGAAAAATTCATGTCGATCTTGCCGATGGTCAGCAAGTCGAGTAGAATGGACACGGAACGCTTCCGGAATGGGAGAGAGCTAAAAACAAAAAAAATTACCCCCGCGAAAAAGAGCCCTTACCCGGTGGTCATCCCGCGAACGAGCACCTCCATCACGATCCAGTTGATATCGACGACACCCTCATCAATCAGAGCTGAACAACAATTAAAATTCGGCAAGTAGCAGACTGATTACCCGCGAACAACTCCAGCGCCTCAGAGTTTTCAGTCTTGTCGTTGATGCAAGCGCCGGCGAGCAGCGTGGCGAGGGCGGGCGCCCGGTCATCGGTGCCTTCGCATAGGTAATCGTGAATCGAGGGTGCCGCTTCGGCAATAGTCTAGAAACAGGTTGGTTGGTTCTTTAGGATCCGAGGGCACCAAATTTTTATCCCAAAGGGCCTGACCGTCCTAGTAATCAAGTCTACAGTTTTTTATGCTTTTACGTCTCCTAAAACTCTATTTGAAGTCGAAAACCGCCAAAAAGGTTAGAAAGAGTGGCAAAAAAAGTCCCTCTAAAACGCTAAAAAATGAGCCCTGCGAATCCTAGAGAACCAACATGCTCAGCAAAAAGCCAAAACCTATTACCGTAAACAGAAATTTGCAGCGCTTGTCGGCAAGCACGGCGTTTATGCAATCCTCGATGACGTTGCCCCACGGTATGAAGAGCATCAAGAAGTGGAAGTAGGCAAGCATATTCGAAGCCTAGAATGATTGTAGGAGGTCGGAACTTTTGGCCAACATCTTCTTTCTCGCACTTCTTCAAGAAGGTTGCCGGCGTCACTCCAGAATGGAGCTTCATGCGCTCGCCGGGCAGCAGACCGATCTTCGATGCCTGAACGAGATGATTTGAAATGTTGTGGGGATATACCTCTGCGTGCAATTCGTCAAATGCGTCAGCGTCGAGCTTGTCGAATGCCAGGCAAAAGAGGTCACGAATGGGACGGATCAACTGATAGCCGAACATGTAGGCGCACATCGGCTTGACGAGTGGAAACAGTCTGTAAAATACCAACATCAAAAACCCCCGATAAGGGTTCTGATACATCAATTTTGTTAATTAGTTTAATACATCATCAAATCGAATCAGAACCCGCGAGAAGAAAAGAGCTCGCGACAAAAACGCACTGCTTTAAATGCTCCTTGTCAGCAAAATGTTTCAGGTGCATCTGGATGAAGTCGATAAACGAAGAGAAGGAGTCCATCGACGTTGCGGCGTGACTGAAGAGCTGCTCCAGTTCGTCGTCGCTCAACTAAAAAAAAGCTCATAACGGAGCATAGCCGAAATGCGTACCACTGGGTTGTATCGCAGGTAGTCGGGCCAGCTGGCCATGTGATAACTTCCGCCCAGCGCAGCCAATTCATCCTTGTCGTGTGCTTCGACAGCCCTTTGACGGTTTCTCAGCAACTCGACAAATTCGACGAAATATTCGAGTTCGTTGAGCTGCTCGTTGTTGATTGCGCAGAGTTTGTCGGCAAGTTCCAAGAGAAGTGGCAGAGACTTCCACATTCCGGGCTAAAATACCAGCGTGAGCAACATTTTCGGATGGATGAGGTGGGAGATATAATTCTTAGCGTCATGAATAACGCGGAAGGTGACAAAGATATGATACCTCCGGCAACTCGTCGAGGTCAACATCTTCAGGAGCGGCAAAGTCGACTCCGTACAGGTTCGCTTGTTCGTTGCTCGCGACGCTCAGACATTTGGCTAGGGCCTGAAACGAGAAAATACTCAACGTGAGCGTGGTTACCAGGATGTGCCTTTTGAAGACGAATTCCGGGATCTTCGTCGACCATTTGAGATCTTTAATGTCTTCGACGTTCAGCACGTCGAAAATCGTTTCCTTCAGATCGGCTCGAGCACCAAGCGAAGCCGCCTGCAAATCGGGACGTATTTGTATAGCTCACACAAAAATGACTCGTGAAAATATTGTACGCTATCCCCGGACTGGAACGTTGTATTTCGTCTCGGAACCTATTCAGAAAAGTTCAGAAGCGAAAGACCACTTTCCAGATGAGGACTACAAAACTAAGACGAGTCGCCATCACGGCGCAAATCATTAGAAACAGAAAAAAAGGTCGGTTACCTCGAGCAAATAGGAAATCTCGGTCATCTGTCTGGATTGCCGGTGAGCAGCTTCGTCCACTAAAAAATCTAGCCAATGTCAAAAATTGTAACAGCTACTTTTGTGCGGGATACTCGGCATCCAAAGAGCAGCGGCGGCAGGCGGTGTTGGCTAAACAGATTTCGACAAGAAATTCTAGGGAAGCAACCATCAATGGAAACCGCGGCGCTGCGGGCACCGATTTCCGCTTCGGACTTTCTTCGGCTTTCCGACCGGCCCGCCATTCTCGTTCAGGCTTTTTCTTGAAGTTTCGACGCGGATGCATCTGCTGACATCACCGATTGGGGCACCGAACCGGCAAATGGCATAGATATTCGACAGATCCGCGTATCAATATTGCAGTTAGAGGGGAAACGATGCAGAGAAACTATTTATTCAGAGCAGAGGAATTAAAACTTCATTCGAAATCGGATTCATTTGTTCAATCATTATTGCTGCGTGCACTCTTGCTTCGGTTGGCTTGGCGACCCGGCCGTGTTGCGAGCCGGAGTGTTGAGCTTGGTCATCTCCATAGTGCCCATGGTTTTGCTGAATTGAACAGTAAGCAGTCAATAAAAGGTTTCGTACTTGGCTATCGGGGTCCGTGGCTGCTCGTTTCCGTGCTCGATCGGCGAATGCACTGGCGAAGTGCGGAGCGGCGAAAGCGCCTGGATTCGGTCCTTCAACACAGCGAGCAGCCCCGGTGACGAATGCTGTGTTTCCTAGAAAGAGCAGTGAAATCGGCGGTGCTTCTTTAACCTTGGAGCCGCCGAGTTGCTGCCGAAGTTCGCCAATCTCCTTCAGCAATTTCGCTTCAATATCGTCCACTTCGTCGAGCGCGCTGCCAAGCCTTTCCACCTAGAGGAAAGTAAAATATTGACAAAAGTAATCACCTCTTCGTTCGCCGCAGCCAGCTCTGCCTTCTGATCCGCGAGCTGCTGCTTGAGCTCGGTATTCTGAGCCTCGACAGCCATCAACTGCTGCTGGAGAGCAGCGCCGGGCTGGACACAGCGTTGGTTGGCACAAACAGTGTCATACCTCGGGTGTTGCATTTTTCTGGCGAAGCTCGTCCTGCAGTTGTCCGATGCTGTATTCCGCGTGCTTAATGGTCAGGTCGTGCTTCTGACGGAGGGCTTCAATTTCTTGTTCGGTGGATGCTGCCTGTTCGATCAGCCGCTGCTCCAGTTCCGCATTTGATTCTTCGGCCGTCTTCAACTGCTGCTTGAGAGCAGCAGCGCGGTGCTGAAAACACCGTAGAGGAGCACGAGTAGAAGGATACCTGGATTTCCGCATCTTTTTCCCGCAGCTGGTCGTTGAGTTGCCCGATGACGAGTTCAGCCTGCTTGAGCGACATCTCATGCTGTTCGCGGAGAGCTTCAAGTTCCGCCGTCACCTTCTCGCACTTCGCTACATTCGCTTCCGCGGACTTGGAGAGCTAAATGGAGCAGCCATCCGTGATTCCAAAACAGAAACATACGTTTTCGTATTCCGAATTGACCTTGAGGCACTCTTCGCGGATGGAGGCGACATCCAACAGCGCCTGCTCACGGAGTGCGTCAGTTTTTTCGCGGGCGACACGGAGCTCCTCGGCGTGAGCCGCTTCCATGGCCTTCGCAGCTTCGATGAGCTAAAGTGAACGGGTTAGATGTCAGAAGTACAATTCTTTCTAAAACACGCATGGCTATGCAAGTATGGCACGGCAAGCCTTTTGCTTCAAAAAAGCTAATTGAAAATAGAAACGGAAACATACGTTTTGGTTGGTAGATTTGAGGGTGTCGAGCTGAGCTTGGAGGTGTGGCAATGTAGTAAGTAGCTCTTGCAGCTTCACAGAGTCCTCGCGTGCCGAGGCGGCGTCCAGCTGCGCTCGTTCCAGTGTCGCTGCGCTTTCTTCGCGGGCAACACGGAGTTCTTGAGCGTGAGCCTCGTCTTTCTCTTGCATGGCTTCGACGAGCTAAAATTAAAAGATTAGATGTTGGAAAGACGGCGGAAAGGAAAATTACTAGTAAAAAAGGTACCTTGATATACGTGGTTTTCCCAGCGGCCAGTTGGTGTTCGAACTCCGCGAGGTCACGTTTGTGAGCTCGGTTTTCTTGAGTGACCGTCGCCAGCTCCTCCTCTAATTTCTTCTTCTCCGCATACAGCTCGAGGTTGGTAGCCAGCCGGGCTTGCTCAACGAGTGCGTCAGTTTCTTCGCGGGCAACACGGAGTTCTTGAGCGTGAGCCTCGTCTTTCTCCTGCATGGCTTCGACGAGCTAAAATTAAAAGGTTAGATGTTGGAAAGAGGGCAGAAAAGAAAATTCTAGTAAAAAAGGTACCTTGATATACGTGGTTTTCCCAGCGGCCAGTTGCTGTTCGAACTCCGCGAGGTCACGTTTGTGAGCTCGGTTTTCTTGAGTGACCGTTGCCAACTCCTCCTCTAATTTCTTCTTCTCCGCATACAGCTCGAGGTTGGTAGCAGTGGCGGATTGCGATTCAATTTGGAGGAACGAAATCCTAAAAATCAAATGATTTCTGACGAAAAACACGAACATGGAATCGTTGTAGTCGGAATACTTTTCGCGTTGGCATGTCGGGAGCTCGCCCACGACGTGGTCATCTGATCCGGCGGCGAAGAGAGCAACGGTGGAGTCGAGGTCTTCCGGAGGAGCGACCGTCTCCACGTTCTGCGGCGTGACGGTGACGTTGAACCTCGTCGACTCGAGGTCCATCGAGTCCCCGTAATCGTCGAACGCGGTCGCATCCAGGTTTGGGTCGGCGTTGTGCATGGTCGCCTAAATTGAATATCTCACACTCGCCGAAATCGAAGAAACAAAAAGAGCAAAGATTAGGCATGGAAAATTACCGCAAAGGCGACGGGGCAGAGAGGGCAATAACCGGTCGAAAAAAATAGAAAATGAGGCAATTTTGCGTGTGGAAAGTATTCGGTGCCGGATGATACGAAAAGTGGCGAAGATAATTCGGGATGCTAATATAAGATCCATCAAACAACCCGGGTTTAATTTATTACAAAGTGAAATACACGGGGAAGGGGGTAGAGAAGAAAAAGACGTAACCCGGAGCAGCAATGCGGCGCAAAGGGTGGGATTGACACTTGGCCGAACGACATTTCAGTAAACACGTTGAAAAAATAGAAAAGCTTGCCAACATTGATTATTTTTTGCGCCTTTTTATTAGAACGAACTAAGAACTCCTTTCTACGATTCCAGGAGTCGGTTTCAGGCTTATACTTCTTCTAAAAAGGATATACTAACAAAAATCTATACTTTTCCGAGGAAAATAACAAACTTTTGTTCAAACGGTCATGAAAACCGTTTTTGGAAAAATGAAGAAATTCGTTGGAGCGTCTTGGTGCCAGAACGGCCTAGATAAATTCGTCGCGGGACCGCGTAAGGAGGTTCCACCCGGAATCATATGGCCGGTGAATTGGTATGAAAAAGTCAATGGAGTCAGCAACCGAAAAAAAGCCACGACAATCCTGCAGAATCAAGGTTCTCAACAATTTATTATATACAAAAAAAAACACGCAAAATGCCCATCGACTACAACTGAATAGCAGGCAAAGGGCTCGACGGGGTAAAGGTGAAGGTAAAACGCATGCAAAGGTATCTCATTCTCATTTTCAACCTCAGCAAAGCCGATGTCTTCATTAAAAAGCGAAACCAACACAGGTTGACGTAATCGAGCGCGGCTCATCAGCGCTCCTCATGAATGCGACGGGCCAATTGGATGTCCTTTGGCAGGATCGTGACGCGCTTGCCGTGGACTTGATCCGTCTTGAAGTCCTGGGCGATCTCGTGCAAATTACAAAAAACTATCTAAAACATTTACAGAAGCCCTATTTCGTCATCGGCAATTTGCGGTCGAAAAAATTGATCTTTTGATATTTTTTAGTAAGCATTTGTAAAGTTTTCACGTTAAGAAATAGTAAAAAATGTTTAGCAACACTTTCATTATTTATATTTCAGAAAGTAGACCAAAAGGTGGCCACCCCCGATAATGCGAAAGAACCACTTTTGATTTTCCTTTTCCATTCGCTTCATTTCCGCTCTAAAAGGTTGTTGGGATCGAACAAAACGTCCTGTTTTTTTCGGCGTCGAGTTGCTTTCGCTTTGGCACTGTTGCCCCCACTTGTAGGTAGCGCGCGGAGTTATGAGCAGGGGGCATGGAGAACGGAGAAATGCATGAAAAGGAGGGCGAGTAGAAGAAGAAACCTTCGCTGGGGGGCGTTTTGTTGTGGCGGGGAGAGGGAGAAAAGGAGCAGGAGCAGTAGGAGCAGGACAATGACAGAGCCACAGGGCAAATTCTTGAGTGACCAAATACAAGGGAAGCAAAAGATGATGATGACCGTCGTTGTGGGCGGGGAAAGACCACAATACCGAATGTCTGCCCATCGGATGTAGAGCATTTTTGCATGTTCTTGCTGGTTGGGTGGGGTCTTTTGCACCATCAGGGGGAATCGAACTTTTTTATAAGGTCTAAACTTTTATACAAATAGTGGAAGTGTTTCCAAACTATTTTTACTTTTCCTAACAAAGCTGTTTTGTAAGCCAAAAAACTTTACAAATTTCTTTTCAAAACTATGAAAAATATCGATTTTCGAATAAAAAAAAGGCCGACTCGACCAAAATTTGGACTTTTTTATACTTTTTAAAAGTTTTTAGATAGTTTTCTAGTTGAAATCTAGTTATATTTTAGTAGAAGCGCTATTTAAACCCTTGATATTTCGTCACTAGAAAAAAAAGTCGCTCCCCCCATACAAATAGTGGGAGTGTTTCCAAAGTATTTGCAATTTTTCTAACAAACATTCTTTTGTAAGCCAAAAAAAACTTTACAAATTCGTTTTCAAAACGGTTTTTCGACCAAAAATTACCGATTTTTACCAAATTTTGGGCTTTTTATAACATTTTTCCGGTTTTTTAGATAGTTTTTCCACCTAAAACACAGTAAATTTTCCTAAAAACACTATTAAAAGGCTTGCTATTACGTCACAAGATATTTCAGGACTTATAGAAAAAAGTTGCTCCCCCGATAATGCGTAAGAACCCCGTTTTTTATGAAATACTTCTATCTTCTAGATGTTTAGCACTTATTCGACCTTGGGCTTACTTTTGATATACAGGAAGCTTGAAAACATGTATTTTAAACTTTTAGTTTATAGGATGCTGTTTCTCAAAATCTTGGTTGTGTTGCCGGCGGTCGTGTTTGGGGCAGGTTTGTCGTTATCGTTGGAGTTTCATTTTAAAGTCCAGGTTTAGCGTTTTTAGAGCATTTTATTGGGCAGGCCCATGGCTTTAATAGATTTGTTTGTTTTAAATTTGGAAAGTGAGACAAGCGTGGAAGTTCTTCTCAAATTAATCGATTCGGAGCCTTCTGCAACTCACAGATTGTTGTAACATTTGACTAGATTGAAAACATGCAATTCTTGGTAAAGGTTGCTTAACGGAGGGGGAAACAATTTTTGTATTTATAAAGAATATCCTGCTATTTTGAACACGCCATCGGATAGAGCCTCAAAAATTATACTAAGAAATTTAATTGTCAGTCGAAAAAAACCTTTTTTTAGCGATTTTAAATTGATTAAACTTTTAGCTTAATAAAGTACTAATTTGAAAGTGTGGTATTTCGGGCTCAAATTAAATCTCCGAGTATATTTTTTGACGCTCTATCCGATGGCCTGCTTGAATTAGCACGAAGATGAGGTCAAGGAAAAACCTATAGGGAAAAATGGTTTCCGCCCGTTATTTCTTCCCCCCCCCCCCCCGTTAAGCAACCTTTACCCAATTCTTATATCGTGATCTAGCGCTGCAAAACTGTCCAATGTCGACGATTCGGGCGATTATACAGCGGGCGGCGATGTCGACCAAGGATCCCGCCACGCAAATGCAGGTAGCTGAGGACCAGGAACCAAGATTTTCTAAGCAACAATTTTTGAAAGATAAAAAGCGCCAGTGTTCCTATACTGTTCTTACTATTCCTAATTGCCATAATTTTTAAAAAATCGAAAAAGTCGATTTGTCGAGCAAAAGGTCGATTTTGGACTACCGACTTTACCCCCCCCAGCCGGAAGTTTTTGGCTATAACTTTTTTATTTTACATTATTTTGGGCTCAAATTAATACACCGAGTATGTTTTTCGACGCTCTATCGAATGGCTTCGCAAAAATCCCGCTAAAATAGCGAATTACCGAAAACTTCGCCTTCGGCTGTGGGGTGGGGGGTAAATCAAACTGCTACCCCGATTTATCTGCCAATTTCGACTTTTGAAAAATCTTAAAGTTTGTTAGGTTCCTATTAAGTTACCAGATATTTCTATACTTGTACAACAAATAAAAAAAGGAAAATTCAGATGATCCGACGGGTGCTGGAAGACATTCACGGCGGTCAGTGGGGTGTGCTAATTATTCGGAATCCATCGATGGTGTCACAGGTGGCGGTTTGGTTCTGGTTCGTTAGCGGGGAGAGGGGGGTTTCGTCGATTACAGTCTTGAACCGTAACTAAAACTTTTAATATATTTTTTGTCGTTCTATACAATTATGACGTTATAATACAGGTAATTCAGGACGTCCATTGGACGATTCCGGACCACACGAACAGCGACGGGAGCCCGGCGTTTTGCTTGGCGGTGGTGAACAGGTGATTTTTGTATCAACAGAGGTACTGGCGTGTGATTTCTCTTTAATGGTTTTGGCGAGTCCCTAGAGATATTTATTAACAGTTGACGCGCCCTCTAATGTATCGACTAAATATAAAACTTTTTTTATTAAGAGGGTCAGTTCATTTCTCATAGGGTCAGGCTAGCAGAGATTGTTTGTGGAAAAGCATTGTGGTTTGTATTTTTAAAGTCAAATTTAGATGGCAGTACAACGTCTTCAAGACGGGCTATGTAGATCGGGCTGATCGGGTGACGGTGCTCGACGTCGTCAACAAGTACGGTTTTTTGATAGATACGACCGACTTTTTCTTATATTCCGGAAACGGCTATTAACGTAAAAATAACTTATATCGTATTAGTCACTTAAAAATAGTTATCACATTTGACTATATTTAAAGTGAAAAACTGTCCACAGCCCTTAAAAAAATATGGAATTTGCAACTTTGGTTGACAAAAAAATTTTGTATTTGTTAATCAAAAATTGTAAAGTTTTACTATTTGGATGAGTAAACAAAATTAACCCCCCCCGATAAACGAAATTACCCGACAAGAGCGTTTAATTTTGCAAACTTTTAGAATCCGGCAGCAGGACGTGAAGAAGCCGGAAAAAGTGGATGCGACCTTGCCGGGCGATTTATTTTTGATGGCACGGTGAAAACAAAAAAGCAAACAATGTTTGAATTGATTTTTTATTGATTTGAATTAAAGTGTTTCAGACTTTCAGGAATGTATCGAGAAACATTCCGGAGTATTAACAGCAAACTCACAATAAAAAAATGAAAGAAATGAAAATCAAAATGGTTAAAAGAAAACTCTATTTTGCGAAATTGTACATAAAGTGTTTCATATTTTTAAGCGTTTGTGAAAAAGATTTCGGCGTATTATTAGCACATTTTTCTCGCCATGAATAAAAATTAAACCGTAAATTCAGGAAAAAATTATTTTACAGAGATTCTTGTACATAAATATTTCAAGGTTTTACGGATTTATCACAAAAGCTTCAGCATTATTAACAAAACAATCTTCACGCCACTAATTACAGAGCATTTAAAATGAATACTAAATTTTACACGTATTTCTGTAAATAAAATGTTTCAGATTTTCAAGCATTTAACGGAATCGAATTCGGAGTATTCTGAGGATACCTTTCGCACTATTAATTAGCCGGAAGCTTCAGCAACCCGCTTCTTCATTTCGGCCAAACTTTTCGGGCGTACGTATTCTAAAAAAACGATAGGATACGGGGCAATACAGCGTACAGTAGATCGTACAGTAACGTAGTACACTATGAGTATTCCGACCTGATACCGTAGCCGGATCTTTCTGCACTTCTTGCACTTTGTTGGCGCAGGAGGGAATGTAGGGGGCGAGTAATTCCTGAAAATAATCGGAAAATCTTTAGATTTTATTGGAAATTGATTTTTGATGATGTTTACACTTGAGAATTCTAGTTAAAAAATACGGAAGCAAACCTGAACAGCCCTACGGTAGGGGGCCATAATATAGAGGGTGAGAAACGGGTTGATGGCTGGTGGGAGACCGATTAGGACGAAGATCAAGTATTCCAGGATTGGCACCTGTGTTTAGGGAAGGAGTCGAATCTACTTCAATGTCGCTCTCTCTCTCTCTCTCACTCTCTCTCTCCCTCTCTCTCTCGCTCTGTTTATCTCTCGCTCCGTTTTTCTCTCGCTCATTCTCTCTCTCGCTCCCTCTCTCTCTCGCTCTCTCATTCCCTCACTCTCTCTTCTCACTTTCTCTGTCTCTCTATCGCTCTTATTTTCTCTCACTCATTCTCTCTCGGTCTGTTTTTCTCTCGCTCATTCTCTCACTGATTCTCTCTCTCGCTCCCTCCATCTTTCTCTCTCTCTGTATCTCTGTATTCTCTCTCGCTCTCTCTCCCACCTGCGAGCGTGAGAATTGGATGAAAATATAGAGAAAAACGGGGAGTGTGCACAGCCATAAAGGAATGAACATCTGGAGGGTGAGGCTCTAAAAACGCAAAACTAGATGAAAAGCTCAAGACACAGGAAATGCTGCTGATTAGTGCAAATAATTGGAATTTCGCAACCAACATGTATGAAACATTTTTTGCGAAAACTTGAATTTCTGAAAAATTTATATTTTAGGGTCTCGACGCGGCACTTAATTATTACGACTATCTTTATCATTCAGGTAAAACAAAACAAATTTAAATTAGTAAATTTTAAATAATAATTATTTTTAAGTCCCTATAAATAATTGATAATGACTATTCCGTACCTTAATGAGCATCCTGAGCCCATCCCTCGTCACTTCCGCGAGGTCTTCTTGGGCCAATAACTTCAGAATTTTCTGTCGCGAATACAGCATGCACGTCACGCTCGGCCAGTTCGGGATCGTCGCGCCTACGGTAGTTTTTACCAGACTTAAAAAAGAAATTCAAGTTTTCGGAAATTTTTAAATAAAAAAAATGTGTTTTGCTTTTTTGAAATGTCGAGATTTTATGGGTTTACATAATTTTTTCTGAGACCTTTTTTGTGCGAAAGCCATGTAAAATTGCAATTAGCCAATAAATAAAGCTTAAATTTCTCGGACATTAATTTAAAACAATAAATTATAAAATTAAATCGTTTAAATTAAACTATTTTATATTATTTTAAAAAATTGGAAATTAATGATAAAATATCTAAAGTAACATACAAGCCAGCAGCAGATACACGCCAACGTAATAAACAGAAGGGTAGCCGTCGAGGCGTTCTAAAAATTGCCTTTTCGAGAATACTGTAAAAACCAAAATTAACGAAAATCGCGGATTTAAAAATGAAAAACTACAGTACCTTCCTGTAGCCACTGCTGGACCGGATAATCGGGGTAGCTTTTCGTAAAGAGTTGCGCTACGGCCGCCGGATCTCGGGGTATTAGATGGCAACTGGCCTGGAAACTAGGAATTTTATTTTGCCGTATCCCGGCGTCAATTAAAGTTCCTTTAAATTAAAAATAATTAAATCTATTTAAAATAACAATTATTAGAATATATGAAACATAAATATCATCCTGTTAAAAATAAATTTAATCAAATTATTCGCAAAAATATTGAAAACCAGGGTTGAAAAGCCGCTTCGCGACTTTTCAACCCTGGCCCCGTATAAGCCCATGAAATCTGCATTTTGCATAATTCGCCCGATTGTCACGAGCAATAATGAAAAACGCTCCCTCTCTTCCATTATATAGGCTATCGCCACGTCCGGTGCATGCTAATTTTCTCCTAACAAAGAGGAGGCCCGGTTTTTCAACAAAAACCTAATTTTAATGTCGAAAACAGCATTATTTGCAAAAACTTATCTGTGTGCAGTCATCTCGGAAGCATTACGCACCTAATGACGTATCATACGTATCTTAAAAACCTTTCCCCATTGAGATACTACTGGAACACGCTGACGGAAGTTGCATGCAAATGCACACACACACACAAGAAACTATTTTTTTATATATAGTAGGATTCGAGATTTTTCTCGGAAATTCCTACGAATCAATGCTCGGAAAAAATGTCGCAACGGCCGTTTTTCTGGGAAACACATTTTTTGGCAAAAATGCACCTTCTTGATCGGCTCCAGAATTAAGGTAAATTGATTAATTATTAAAATTATAAAAAAATAGTGTCTGTGTGTGTGTGTGTGTGCATTTGCATGCAACTTCCGTCCGTATGTTCCAGTCGTATCTCAATAAAGGAAGAAGCTAGGGGTATGTATGATCCGTCATTAGGTGCGTAATGATCATGACACCACTGCACACCTATCAGATTTTTGAAAATGAGCTGTTTTCGATATTGAAAATCGCTTTTTGTGAAAGTCTCGCTCGACCTCTTTGTTAGGAAAAATTAGAATCCACCGGAAGTTGCGGTCGCCTATATAAAGGGACGGAGGGGGCGCTTTTGATTTTTTTGTCTTCGCAATTCGGGCAATATTATGCAAAGTCAAGAGTCAGACGGCGCCAAGGTTGAAAAGCCGCGAAGCGGTTTTTTCAACCCTGGTTAAAATTATAAAACATCGATTTCTACACTAAAATCAATACATTTTATAAATTTTAGCTCATAGGTTTGTTTTGATCGATTTTACTGCTAAATCATATATCCAATCACCCACAGTACCCACCAGAATTATTACCGGGATGATGGCGAGCACCAGACAAATGACGAACATCCGAAAGTACCTAGAAAATCAGTGGAGAATTTTGCTTGTGGGGTTTAGTCTTCAAAAGTCCTTTAAAGCAAAGAAAATTGATAAATTGAATAAAATTATTAAATTTGATTAATATAAGGTAAAATTACCGTATCTTAATGCCGCGCATTATGAGGTATCGGGATGTCATCGAGAAGGAGGTGGAGAGCAGGCCGTTCTGAAAAGATGTTTTATGAATGTTGGAATAACAAAGGCCGAAATTTAGGATTAATAAGGCCTCGGATCATCACAACCCTAACATTTTTTTGAAACATGTCATTGCTTTATCAGAATGCCATCGCCAAATTTCAACTTTGAAAAGAAGGGAAGGATGGAATTAATATTGGCTTTCGTGTGGAAAATGTGAAGTAATTCCTTAGTATTTTTCCATATCGTTATTTTTATACAGAAACACCATTTTTTTGCTGGACAACGGCAAATTTTTATAAAACTGAAATTTAATTGCAATCGATAATGATCAAAAATGATCAAAAATTTTTACCTTAATACAGGCGAGTGTAATCGAGTGTAGTACATAGCAGCCTCCCGGAAATATTTTGGCACACGGACCGAGGAAAACCAGGCCGACGGCCGAGCCGGAAGGGATGATTCTGGAAGTAGAAAAAGTGTAGCTCTCTCTCTCTCTCTCTCTCTCTCTCTCTCTGTCTCGCTCTCTCTCTCTGTCTCTCTCTATCTATCTACCTGACTTGCGTCATAAATATCGTAGTCGACGAGATCAGCTGGCTGAGTGCGGTGTCCATCAAGATTATCTCGAATTTAAATCGGTCATTTTTATACTAATTGGAAATATTTGGAAAAGCACTGTTTTATCCCAGAACTAAATGGCTGGTTTTTTACAGCATTTTACCTCGTTTTTAGGTGTAGTTTAAAACCATGTTTCATCTCCAGTTTAGTTGAATCTGGCCGGGAAAAAGCGAATTCGCCTTTGTCTGGCAACATAATAAAAGAACTATATTTAATTTTTAGGGTCTATTAAATTACTGTATTCTAGGATGTTTTGCTTACATTCGTTTTTATTTTCTCTGCCATTCTTAATCTATAAACTTTAAACCATTTTGTAAAGTCCACATTTTGGTTAAAAAAAATCGGTATTTTTGATCAAAAAATCGATGTTCTTGAGATTTATAAAAAGATTTGTAAATTTTTTACCGTTAGGAACAGGAAACAGTTTAGAACTCTAACCATGAATATTTGAAAAATTTTGCGCTTGTGAAAAAGCCGCTCCCCCCCTCCGATAATGCAAAAGCACTCGATTTTGACGCTACCGTACCCTGAAATACCGTAGCTCCCTGGGGCTTTTCCTTAGTATGATGTAGCAAAGTAATGCGTTTGCCAGGATTCCAATTAGGGAATAGGTGGAATAGATGATATTGAATAGAATATCGATCGAGGTCATTTTTGGGGAAGGGAGGGTTAGGGTGAGGCCCGTTTTGCATAAAATTCCACCTGCCTGGCCGCGGCTGGCTTGGTCAATCAACGAAACATTTTTTTGCAGCTGCCATTGCGAGGTCCGATTTCTAAAAGTACAAAAACATTTTCTTGTTTGTTACCCTTTGGGTACTGGACTGTTAGCGGGGGGACCAAATTTTTCCCAGGAATCCAGTACGGCACTATAACGTAATATCAAATATTTTATTACCATGTTATAACGATAAAAACATCAATTTTAATAATGCTGAAAATGGCCTTCTTTTTTTCTTTTCTTTTTTCGATTTTCGTATTTTCGAAAATGTGCATTTTTATAGCGAGTTATTTTAATGTAGGTTTTTCTAATTATCAAAAACCACCAAGAACCCTATAAAAATATATTGTATATTAACAACAAGCGGAAAAACAACAAAATTGATTCCCACCCCCCCGCTAATACCGCAGTACCGTGTCCGGAATGGTAGGCTTCAACGTTTCCTTAAAAATTTGATTTTTTTTGGTATGGCAAGATTTTGGGGAGGGCAGGCATCCTGGTCGAGATTCAATTTTCATGGATTAAAACATTAATTGTGGTTAAAAAAGTGTTGCAATGCAATATATTATCCAGCGCAATTTACCCGCATTAATCCATTATACAATGCACTGTCCTCTCATGGCTTTGATCATTCTCTCATCCTGGACATGCTTTGGCGAAATTGCCCTTCAAAAAACTTCAGAATTCCCAAGTTTTCCTGTAACATGTTTTTGAAATTCTCGGTTCTTCAGCATTATCGGGGGGACTACTTTTTGCATACGTCCTTGGATGTTTAGCAGCGTACTAGAAAGCGTTTTGACGTGTTTTTAATAGGATATTTCAAGTATTTTTTATGGTCGAAAAACTTTTTTTATATCTTCCGAATACCGGAAAAAAACAAAATGACATTTTCCGGTTAAGCTCATGCCAAGACCGAGGCTATTATTTTATTGCATTTTTCGATTTTCGATCTCAGTGTAACAAACATATTTTTGCCCAAAAAACATTTATTCATTCGTCTTCAATTTTAATGATATTAAAAAAAAATCGGGATAAAGGAGAGACTTTGTAGGTGAGCAAATTGGTGAATTAAATTAATTAATATAAAAATTGTAAGCACGGGGTTTGGCGAAAATTGAAACATGGGAAATCCAAGCAAAATTTCGAAAAATGATGATTTTGAGGGGTTTGAGAAAAAGAAGATCACACAACTGTGTTCATCAAAGACAGCTTTTTTTTGTTTTATCAGCAAAACATATGGATTTGTGAGTTATCGGGGGATCGATTTATCGATTTTTTTTCACAGGATCGTGCACTTCTTCTTCGGCGCTGCGGCAGCGGGAGTTTCGGATTTTTTCGCCTAGAAAACACCGAAGCATTATTATGGAGAAATCTGGCGTTATTGGTATTTTTATAGAAACATTTTTTTGAGAATCAAAAATTCGAATCGTAAATGAGACCCGATCACCTTGAAAGAAATTTTTCAAGACATTTTTTTCAAGAAATGACTAAGCAAAGTCATGGATTTTTTATACATTTAATATTTATAATGCTAGGATTTTAACTGTCTCAATTTTTAATAAAAAAAATCGAGAAAACGCTCTTGTTTGTTAAAACAGGTGGACTTTCAGAATCTCTAAATTTCAGAATCTCTAAATTTCAGAATCTCTAAATTTCAGAATCTCTAAATTTCAGAATCTCTAAAAATCATAATCTCTAAAAATCAGAATCTCTAAATTTCGGAATCTCTAAATGTCGGAATCTCTAAATTTCGGAATCTCTAAATTTCGGGATCTCTAAATTTCTTTGTACAGGCGCCCATACAGAGTTTGGCGCAAATTGAAACTGTAATGCGCTTTTACCCAAAGACGCCCCTGAAAACTTTTTCTGGGGTAGTTTTTTGCGCTAATCACGTAAAACGTAGATGCATTTCCATAGCGCCATTTTTCCGTGCTTGGTTACAACTGTTGTCTTCAAAACTTGGTTTTGCTATAAGCTATTCATTTTGACTTTTGTGATTCGTGCTTACGTTTTTCGTGATCAGGGCAAAAAACTACCCCAAAAAAAGTTTTCACAGGCGACGTTGAGTAAAAGCGCCATACAATTTCAATTTGCGCCAAGCCTTTGCTCGGCGGCGAGAAACAAAGAAATTTATCCATCCAATCCAAAGAGATTGCGATTTTTAGAGATTCCGATTTTTAGAGATTCTGATTTTTAGAGATTCTGATTTTTAGAGATTCTGAAATTTAGAGATTCCGAAATTTAGAGATTCTGATAGGGCGGCGTTAAAACATGACTTGAAATTTTAAGCAAATTAACTCGACTGACCTCCAAAACCGCAGGAGGTGGCGGGGAGCCGGAGATGTCCTGAAAAGTATGCAAATTAAAAAAATTAAATGAGCAAAAATGGCAATATTAATTTGAATAGTTTTTCTTGATTAAGCGGAAATTAAAAAAGTAAGTAAAAGTTTTTTTCTGAAAAAATCAAGTGTTTCAAAAAATTCCCTTCTTTCGCACGAGTACTGAATCTAATGGCTTCGACAGTTTCCAGGATATTTTCTGCTAGACAACTAGGAACTCAAAATTTAAAATGTAATTTTCATGATAAACATGAAAGTTAAAAACATAGCATAAAATAGAATATAAATTCATAACTGTGAATTCCCATAAAAAATTTAAGCTACCACCTTATCGAGGCGAGTGGTGGCCGACTCGGCGGAGGCGACGGTATCGTTGGCAACGTTCTGGATTACGGCAGCGGCCGAGGACTGTAAGAATGCGATTACTGTATCCGCGAATATAATCAATGAATGCGATATGGGAACGTGTTTCATAAAAATTAGAGCCGTTGTAAAGCCGGTGTACTTAAGTAAAAACATCCAATTTTTCAGAAAATCTGGTGTTTCAAAAAAGTTAGACCTATTTTAAAACCAGTGCTCCTTCTTAAAAAACTCAAATTTGGGAAAGCCGTGTTTCAAATAAATTAGATGTTCTGTAGAGGCGGTGTTGTGTAGTATACACATATTTCTTACACAAAAAAATTTTACTTCCGAAAAACCGACCACAGCCTGCCCGGTCTTTTCGGCGGTCACGTGCGCCGCCGAGGAGACGGCTTCCTAAATTTACAAAATAAAAATGTTTTGTGTTAATTCAGTATTACCGTACTCTACAGTAATATTATCTACAGTAGTTAGGCGGCGAAACGTTAGCGCGTCTGGGACGGAAAATGAACGAATACTTGTGCAGCTCAGGGGCTCAGGGGAGCGGAAACCAAGGTATTTATTATTGAAAATATCGAAAATAGACTTAAAAAGTATGATTATTACTGAAAAGGGACGGGCATGGCAAATGCTATGGATTTTGCCGGTCATGGCCTCACTAGGAGTATTTTTGTGCTCACGGCACGAGTACTAAACTGTTAGCGGGGGGGGGGGAACGTAAATTTTTTCCAATAGAAATAATTTTTAAAAAGTTTTTTACAAATTTTTACATAGAGAAAAGCTCACATAAATTATAACCATTTTACTTTTTGGCCAAAAATCTATGAAAAATATCCCAAAATTTTCGACTTTTTACGACGTCTAGCGATAAAAAACTACTACAAAATTATAAAAATAAATTATATATTATCAACAGGCACGAAAAATCTCCTCCCCCCCCGCTAACAGTGCAGTTCCACGGCGCGTGGCGCGCCGGCGCGAGCCGCATGGCGGTTCAACCGATATTTCGAGGATACCCATGGCCGGGAAAATCCATAGTTATGCCTTGCACGTGCCTTTCTGATGCGGTTAATATGCTAATTTTAGCGGGGGGGTTGAGCGATATTTGATGGAGATTGTGAGACCGCGGGGGCGGGAGAAAGCGAAAGAAATAAATGAAAACAGGCTTCGACAAAGCGAACAGAGACTTCAGGCTCGAGTTGTTCCTATCCAAATCAGATCGCCATGAAATCGGGCAGGTAAAATTTCTGGATATCTGCCCAAAAATTTTTTTTAATTTTGCTAATTTTGAGCAGAATCGGCCATTTTCTGTCGAAAATCGATATTTTTTGTATTTTCTTCATAAAAATGTGAAAAGCTTTTAGTTTTTTGTGTTATTTAATAAAACTTGGTAACCTTTTCACGTATATCAAATTCCAGGATATCTGACCAAAAAAAAAATTCGAATTTCTCATTTTTAGCCAGAAAATCGCCATTTCGTTCAGAATCGATATTTTTGTATTTTTTAATAAAAGTTTGTAAATTTTTAGCGTTAAGGAATAGCAAAAACGGTTTAGAAACACCTTAAATATTCATATTTTGGAAATTTCGATACCAGGAAAAAGCCCCCCCCCCCCCCCGATAATGCGTAAGAACCACAAGATCGTGCCTAGATTTGACAAATCTTACTTATCCCCTTGATCTGATCCGGAATAAGAACAACTGAACGTGAGGCCTATTCCGGTCATCTCCGGCACCTCCTACTCACCCCCTGTTTTTCGCCCCACGGGTACGCGTAATCGCGTCCCTCGAAAAATGCACCGCGGGCCTCGGCGATCACCTCGCGCGGTGATGCCTTTAAAAAATTGGGGATACCAAGGATTTAAACTGAATACCGGGTGTTGCGATCCCGAATCGGGATCGCGCAAAAATAGCATGATTTAAAAATTCTGGAAATCGATTCATTGTCGAACATCATATATGGGCATTGTTTCCTCTAACAAGGAATGCTTTTTATGAGTCTTCGAAGTCAAAACCTTACGGGACCTAGCCCATTCGATAGAGAATTCGATTCTGAACAAGGCCCCGTTGTCCTTTTTTGGCGGAATGGCTAGCCCTGATTTTATCAAAAATTTTAAAACTGCACCCAAAACCCTCTCTTTTTGCTCGAAAGGCACTCATGGTAAGCGACCGCCACTAGTATTTTAATTTTATAAAATCAGGGATAGCCATTCCGCAAAAAAGGACAACGGAGTCTTGCTCAGAATTCAATCCTCTATCGACTGAGCTAGGTATCGTACGGTTTTGCCGATGACTCAAAAAAGCACTCCCTGTAAGGGTTGCGTTTAAAAACATACGGCAGCCTTCTTGGATGTCTCGACGGTGGTGTCGACGGCTACCTGGGCAGCGTTGGACACGCTCTCCGCTGCTGACGACTGAAAATGCGAATTTACATATCGCTCTCTCTCACTCCCTTTCCCTCTCTCTCTCTCTCTCTCTCTCTCTCTCTCTCTCTCCTTCTCCTATCTATCTATCTATTTATCTATCTATCTATCTATCTATCTATCTATCGATCTATCTATCGATCTATCTATCTATCTATTTATCTCACTATCTCTCTCTCTCTCTCTCTCTCTATCTCGCACTCTCTCTTTTCGTTAGATTTTCGAGCACAAAAACATGTGTTTCCAAACACATATGGGTAGCGAAGGCCATCGCTCGATTAATCTGCCGATTTTCTGATCCATACAAGATCAGATTTTCATCGCAAATGGTTAGCATTAATAAATTACAAAACTAACTAAAATATAGCTCGTAATTAAGATGCTTAAAAAACCGACCGCCATCTCCTTGGCCTTCTCAGCCACAGCGGCCGCCGATTCCTTGGTGGCCTCCCAGGCGGTGGCGGCCTTTTCAGTTACGGTAGCCGCGGCTTCAGATGTCTTTTCCTAGAAAATTAAAGATTTTGAGCATTAATTAGTAGTTTTGAACTAATAATACACAGTTATTATCACTATTTTTAACGTTAAAAAGAGTCAATAAAAATCCGCAAAAAAATGCCGAGTTTGCAAAAAAATGTTTCGAAAAATTGTCTAGTGGTTCATTTTAGAAAAGCGAAAAAGCGAATATTCGCCGGAAAAGCTAATCGTAGTAATTTACCTATTATTTTGCGAAATTTTTTCGATCACACTTATTATTCGCTTGTGTAAAATATAGATAATATTTACAAATTAAAAAATTCGTGACTAAATAAAGTTAAAAAATTTAAATTATAAGGTAATAGTAATACTTCAAAAACTGACCTCAGCCTTGTGGGCGGCTTCATCGGCTTTGTCCGCCACGACAGCCGCGGATTCCTTTGTGGACTCCCAGGCGTTTGAAGCCTTCTCTGCTGCCGAGTCGGCCACTTCGGCCGCTTTTTCCTGGAAAAAATTTGATGTTTCGAAAATAACTGATTTTACGACAACTTCAGAGGCTGTAATTGCTCGAATGCTCCAGGTCTTACCTTGAAAGTTTTTCAAATCATCAAAATTTATCGGAAATACGAAATATAATTGATTAAGGTTATTTTGAAAATATTTTAGCAAAAATAAAATGCACAGGCAATAGAGAATAATTCATACATATTTTTTGATGCTCTCAACGATTAGTATGAAAATGATCATGAAAAAAAATTATTAAAGCTGACAGTTAAAAAGGCCACCTAAAATCATTAAAAATTGGGGGACTACGGTACTTAGCCGATTACGACACATAATTCGATCTACCTGAGCCTTCACGGCGGTCTGCTTGGTGGCCTCCCAGGCGTGAGAAGCCTTCTCGTGGGCAGCTTCCGACACATTTTCGGCTTTTTCCTGGAATGAAACACGGTTTTGTAAATAAATCGAATTCTATATGATATTTCTTGTCGTGTATCTAAATGTTTCCCTGCTAATAATAGTTCCCTAGTTTTATAATTTATTTAGCGGTTTTTGAATACTTGAAATTACAGAAAACGCATGCTAAAATTCTGAGGTTTTGGTCATTTTTTCTTCCATTCTTATACCGAAAAACCGAGAAATGCAATAAAAATGGTTTATACTTTGTTGAAGGATTAGAATCCTTTAAAAAATTAAGAACCAAAAAGCCGCAATTTCATTGTCATACAATATTCTCTTGGGCAAGCTTGATGATTTTAACATTCTTTCCAAAAAATCCTAATCCAAAAACAATCACATTACCTGCACGGTCTCGACGGCTTCGTTTGCAGACTGTTTGGCCGACACGGCCACCTCTTGCGCCACTAAAAATTAGGTTTCAAGAAAATTTAAATAGAGGCCAGCGATTTAAAGCGAATTTTACGCATATAATTGATTATAAAATCATGATTTAATAATATTATAATTGTTATAAAATTACAACTTACCGTCCTTCGTCTCCTCAACAGCTGATTTGGCGGCCGCCTGAGCGACGGCGGCTTCTTCGTGCGCTTTTTCTTGGGTAGAAGTGAGCAGCTAAAAAACGGCCATAGACGTAAAATTATCTTCCTCGAAAATCATCTTGACAAGGCTTTTTCATCAAACACATTTTTTTTATGAAAATCTTGACTTTCTCACCTCATCTACCTTATCCTTGGCCTCATCATATTTTCCCTGGGCGGCCGAGAGCGCTTCGTCTTTCGACTAAAAATAATCAAAATTTAAATTGTTCTACAAAATGGAGGTTTTTACAAAATAATCAGCTATCATAGTCAATCTGTAATAATTAATAGAACTATCAAAATATTTTGTAATAATACTGTACAATAGCTTTTTTAGTAATTTTTTGTAAAATTTGTTCAAAACAAAAAAAATCGGATTCCGTGGTTTTTAAAAGTCGAATTTAATGGTTATCTAGGCAAAAAATAGCTAACAATAAGAATAAAATTAATAATAATGGTAATACTAAGAAAAACAACATCGGAAAATCAATATTTTAATTTGGTTCATTAATAAAGAATTTTAAGGACCCTTTTGAAGTAGAAAAGTTGAAACATAGAGAATTTTTATGAATTCCGACCATCTCGCCAAAAACCATCTCGCCGAAAACCATCCCGCCGAAAACCATTTCGCCGAAAAACCATCTCGCCGAAAACCATTTCGCCGAAAACCAACTCGCCGAAAATCTAATTTTGCATGCAAATTTTTTCGCGTAGTTGCGGTCATCCCCCAGGTCACAAAAGAGTAAAGAAAGTTGCTTTTTTTCAGGGTCTCTGTGCCCGGACAATTCCCCTATGATTTTAGGCCGAAAACCGATTGGCTCAGTCATGATCAGTGTTTTTTCCGGTAATAGATCAAAATGGAACAAGCCTGAAAAAAATTTGCATACAAAATTAGATTTTCGGCGAGTTGGTTTTCGGCGAGATGGTTTTCGGCGAAGTGGTTTTCGGCAAGATGGTTTTCGGCAAGATGGTTTTCGGCGAGATGGTTTTCGGCGAAGTGGTTTTCGGCAAGATGGTTTTCGGCGAGATGGTTTTCGGCGGGATGGTTTTTCGGCGAAATGGTTTTCGGCGAGATGGTTTTTCGGCGAGATGGTTTTCGGCGAACTGGTCCGATACCAATTTTTATGCCCAGCCCACGAATTCAGGAATTACTCTTATTAAATTCAGAGGATAATAAATAAAGAATATACCTCCTCGGCCTCGCTGGCCAAATCCTGGGCCTTCTCCTTCAGCCCCTGCCAGTAGCCGTCGGCCTAAAAATTCACTGTTACTAACGATGCGCTCATCGGTGCCAAGCAAAATTTTCGGCTACAAGTGGTTTTTGAAAATGTTTTTCACCGCCGATTTTTGCGGGTTTATCACCTAGGTAATTTACAGCTGGAAATTCATCACGTTCCCCGATTAAATAGGGACAATCAATTTCGAAAAAAAGTCGATCAGGAGAGATAAACAGGTTAAAAAAATTGAGATTCCGGGCCGAAGCCATGCGTGTAACATACTTTTTTATCCTCGCGTACTTTTGAAAGGTTCCAAGCTAGTTTCAATATCATTTGTTTAAATTTCTGAGAATTTAAAGGCACAAAAACAAGGATTCTTTATCCTATTTCTACAACAGAATCAGAAATAAAAGTTTTATAGTAAATTTCGGAAAAAAGTCGATCAGAAGAGATAAAGCAGGTAAAAAAATTGAGGTTCCGGGCCGAAGCTGTTAGACCACCATGCGTGTAACATACTTTTTTATCCTCGCATACTTTTGAAAGGTTCCAACCTAGTTTCAACATCATCTGTTTAAATTTTTCAAAAATTAGAGGCAACAAAAATGAATTAGGCTTTATCTGTTTCCACAACAGAACCAGAAATAAAAGTACATTTCAATAACAATAATTAAATTTTCCTAGATTATAACAATGTAGCGTAAAAAGTAAAAAAGTACTTTAATTGGTATATCAGCATTATCAGGTTGGATAATAAGTTCTGTCACAATTTTTTGAAATCGCTCGTTAAAATCGCAGATGTTTCCAATTCTGGAGTATGAGGTATGGATTGATAGGTCTCACAACACTCTACTTTGGGAGGACCCTCAGTTGACGCAAAAATTGAGGGACGTCGAGATACAGGCCCGAGAAGGTTTTCGCAAAATTACGCAAAAGCGTGTTAGCGAGTTATCTCTGCATACAGCAATTTGCATGCAATACGGCTAACACCAACCGATAGCTTTCGAGGAGTAGATATCGATAGATGTTGAGATCATCAAAATCAGACATCGGATGGCCGAGATACGACCCCTTGAAATTTGGCCCATTTCTTAGAACTTTTCCCAAAATCCCATACATTTGGTCAAAATGCGCTCGGTTCTTTTGAAAATCAAGCGGTCAGTTTTGGCCGCGGGCTATCAAATGTATGGGATTTTGGGAAAAGTTCTAAGAAATGGGCCAAATTTCAAGGGGTCGCATCTCGGCCATCCGATGTCCAATTTTGATGATCTCAACATCTATCGATATCTACTCCTCGAAAGCTATCGATTGGTGTTAAAGGTATCGCATGCAAATTGCTCTATGCAAAGATAGCTTGCAAAATAGGTTTGGTACGATTTTGCGGAAAACTTCTCGAAGCTCTATCTCGGCGACTCTAAATTTTCGGGTGCGAGGAGGGTCTACCCAAGGTAGAGCTCGAGGAGACCTATCAAACCATATACCATACTATTAATTTGGGCACGTCTGCAGCTTTAACAAGCGATTCCAAAAAATTGTGACAGAACTTATTATCCAACCTGATAGTATTAGGTTAGTCTATCAAAAGATTTGCCTGAAATATACCACCAAAACAATACTGCAATTTCCAACTTACGGCTTCTGCTCCAGCGGTCGTCTCTTGTTCGGCACGTTGGCTGAACTCCTCGACGACGTTCCGCACATTGCCCTCCACTTGGCCAAGATTGTCCGCCAAATCGTGGGCCGCCTACAAAGTTGAATTTCTTAAATAATAATATATTTTCTAATACATAATGATATTCTATTTTATTGTTGTGTAGGACTGTTTGGAATCGTGCGGAAAACCCAATTCTGTTATTCATGACCGGTCGAAATTGGCTAAATGGTGAAACACTTAAAAAATTCACAGATTTTTTTTCATTTATTTGATACCAGTGGAAAATGACCGCTTCGCGGCCCTTTTCCACTGGCCCCCGTCTAGGAACCATATATTCCCCTTCCTTTTTCAAGCCTGCGGCGCAAGAGCCTGACTCTAAACCATTCTCTGGCCTGCGGCGCTAGCTGCTGGTTTTTCTCCAGCATCTGGCCTGCGGCGCTAGAGCCGGGCCAAGGACTTTTTCTTTGGCCTGCCGCGCTAGAGCGAGGGACTGGCCTAAATTTCGGATACCTAAAGCCTCGAAATATGTTGTGTTGTTGAGCTATCAAAAAGCAAAAAGGTAAATTTACCGAAGATTCGAACCCTCGACTACGTGCGTGGTAGACCGGGCGGCAAGCCACTATACCAAAGGAGGCATGGGGAAAGGGCGGCGGGAAAGGCCTCTTGCGTCCTGGGGGCGTGGTCCAACCCGGGAGGGAGGACTTCTGGTAACTTTAAAAAAAATCGCTTTTTAGTCTAGATGCGCCGAAAATTTGTAAAAATAATAAGATGCGCGTCATCCCCACTAACGAATACATAAGTGGTCCAAATTACAGACCGAAAGTCCATCAGCGCTTCGAGTTATGGCCCGGACACCACGGCTCGTAGCCCATTTTGTTAAGGATTTTCACCATTTTGTTTGTAAAATCGTTAAATAGAGGAATTTCGAAAAACAAAAAAATGCGTTTCTGGCAAACGTGTTTCTCCACCTCCATGCCAAAAATCAGCCGGAAATTCGGCCTGACGGCCGAGAAATCGGCTGAACAGAAAACAGACATACTTTTCTCGCTTATAGGATAGGATTATTATTTATTTTATTTTCATTATATTAATTCCTTGGTTTTTCAATGGAAAAAACTAAGTTAAATATATGCAGTTTGGGCCCACTTTTATCCATAGGAAATTTAGTTTTTGATCTTTTTAGTTTTATTCTCTTTAAACAAATTGGGCCAAATATTGAAACCTTTTTAAAAAACATAAACCGCTGGCGCTTTTTGTGTTAGTATTATTTATTACCTGTCTTTATTTATTGAATCATATTCAAGTTCGACTGATTATTGTGACGGAAAATCGCCTTCCCAGTAATAGTAACACCCTTTTTTACCTCGTGCACTGGCTCGGCAACGTTGACTGCCGTGTCGTCCACAGGATCTTCTGGCTCGCTGATGTGCTTCTCCAACTAAAATTATACTTGAAAACAGATTTCATTAAACCAAAAAACTGGGACAAGTACAATAGGAAAAATGGTACTGGACTATTAGCGGGGGGATTTTTGCCGGAAGGAAGCTAACTTTTGTGTTTTTCCTAGACCTCTGATGAGCAATAAACAGCGCATTTTGAAAATTTTGTTTTCATTAGTTTTTGCTCGCCAGGAAATACAGAGATTCAGAAATTTATTGGTCATTTTTGGCGGCTTTTCGGCTTTTAACGTGCTTTGAATTTTTAGCTTTTGATGGCTATAAAACTCGCCTAGTTTTTATAGGGCCGTAGGCGTTTGACTAGGAAAAAGGGTACCCCCGATGATAGAGCAGCTCCGGAAAAAGTGCAACACACATTGACCAAATTAGTGTGTTTCATTTGACCAAGATCGAACACGCATTCGACCGGAAGGAATAAAATTTTGTATGATAAAACGAAAAACGGAATGTGGTACGTTAAGTAAAGAGCACGATAGATATAAAATTAAGGGTTCGTGCGAATCAGTTTAAAAAAAAAATTACCTCGTCGGTGTTGACGTTCTCGACGTGGTCGGCCACCGACAGCGTGGTGTGCTAAAAATTAATATATATATTTTTAATTTTTAAAATTGACATTATGGGGTTTAGTAAAAAAATAAGTATATTTTTAAGGTATAAATAGATTAATAAAGTGCTTTTTAAAAACTTACATGAACCTGTTCGCCCTTCTCTCCTGTATAGTCGAGGGCGGTGTGGGCGGTCTCCTCCAATGCGGACGGCTCGTCAAAGGGCGAAGGCTCCTTCTGAAACCCTTTTTCAAAAAGCAAAAAATATGTTGCACAAATTTGCAAAGATCTGTGAAATATTTGCCTCTTATTGTTGTGATTGGTATTGCGTAAAAAAATTAAAAATGCGGCAGTTGTAAGAATTACGTGTTTTTATATTGCTGTTAAAATATTTTTGAATCTATCTGAAAATAAATCTTAATTAATACAAAATAAGCATGGTCAAATAGCAAATATGTTTAATCTAAAAATAATATGGCGTCTACGCCGTTCCCGGAAAGTTTTTCGGCTTTTTAAAAGTTGTGTTTCATCAAATTTCCAATTTCCGGAGACATTGAACCAATGAAGTAACACCGAAAAAATGGTAAATCACATCCCACGGTGAGGGTCGCTACACAATTTAGGTCACAAGGAAAGTACTAGGTTGGACCGAAAGTTCGTGCAAGATTTTTCAGTATTTTATAGTTTAGTTCCGGAAGACGGTACAGAAACAAAATTTGTTAGTGAGAGACGTATGCACAATCAAATGCTCTATTCGACCCATGGGACGGAATCACAATCCATTTCCCTTAGAATTTTTTCAATTTAATTTACTAGAAAATCGAAAAAGGCTCCGGACCGCTGTTTCCAAAACAGTTCCGATTTATCTTTTTGCATATTTCAGCATCTAAATAGTAGTTAAAAAGTATTATCATGCTGGCACTTCATTGCTATGGTAAAGTTATGGTGATCCTGAAAGATGTCCGGGTCAAAAATTTGAGATGCCTCCTAGAAAAACACAAGAATAATAAAAACTACTGCGTCTAAAATCTTGTAAATTTTATCCCACATACTATTAAACTCCGCGAATACGGGGGAAAAGAAACAATGATATCGGCCCACAAAAATTTTAGAAAGAAATTTCCGAAGTTCGATTGTACGAACTTATGGTCCAACCTAATACTAACAGACAGCGTTTGAAATATTGTAACGTTGTTCCATGTAACAGCAAAAATTTTAAGTTTATGGAACACCCACCACGTGGTCGGCGAGGAGTTCGGTGTGCACCTTCTTTTCGATGGTCTCCTACAAAAAGCCTCCATATAAAAATTTAATAGTCTTAAGGTAAGCCAGGTTCTTTTCGATTACCGTGGGGGTATTGCTATTTTTGGTAGATATTTTTATCTACAACAAAAAACAATTGATTTTTCGACCAAAAATGCGAATTTCGACAAATTTCGAATTTTTAAAAATGTTTCAAAGGTTTTTAGATAGTTTTTAACCTAATATGGTTTTTGAATATATTCGATTTAAATTAAATTAAAATTGGGAACTAATAGTAATTATGTTCGCAAGAAAACTGGTGAATTTTTAATGTTTCGTCGAAACCGTCTTAACGGGGGATGGTCAGAGCTCTAATTCCCCGTGAACTCGTGTACAATAATTACCTCAACGTCTTCAGCTTTCTCCTCGGCCGGCCTCACGGATTCGTGGGCTTGTTCCTGAAATTTTTTTAAGCTTTGACGATTTTTGTAAAGAACGTTGCATTTTTATCTCAATTTGGTTATGCTTATTCTTTGCGGCATTTCATCGTATAAAAGAAAAATTGTCGAGCTGTCACCCATTACAACTGCTTTCCCCCGCTCATATCGTTTCTTTGTTAAAACATTTTTTTAATGAAAATTTGCTTTTTTTTCGGAGATCAAAACTGCTCAAAATAATATGTTTTTGACTATAGGTTTTTTTTAAACGCTTAGCACCTCTAGTCAGCATGGCGGGTATGCTTGAAATCTTTTTTAAGGTTCGATCCATTATATTTAACTCCCAAATTTGTTTTTTTATCGAAAACATGTTATAAAAAGGTTTAAAGATAGCTACAGATGCTGAAATCAGCTTTCCATCTATATAAGCTTCCTAGCGCATATCGTTTGGTTGTTGAAACATTTTTCTAAAAAATTCCCTCGGATTTTTCGCATAAAAATTTAAGAAAAGTGGCATGTCCTTCGATCTTAAATAGTCTCCGTCACCCGTATCATTTATTTGTTGAAACATTTTTCGAAAAAATCGGCACGGATATTTGGCATCAAACTTTAAGAAAAATAGAAGTTTTACAGTTTTACAGCCATTTTCAAAAATTTGAGAAGCTAATCTGCACTGCATTTGACGCTGCATTTAATTTGATTATTTAATTAATAAAATCACATTTTGCCTCAAATTGAACTTTAGACAAACGATACCTTGGCCTTCTCCCAATCCTCTTGCAAATTTTCGGTGGTCGTCTTTAGATGGGCGTCAGCTTCTTTGCTCAGAGAATCCTAAAAATGGAAAGTTAATTTAAAATTTAAATTGATTTCTTTATTTAATAAGCGCCTTTAAAAGGTCATGAAGTTAAAAAATATATAAAAAAACCAACTCCCAAATCGGCGGCATCATTCTGCAGCTCAGCCACCTTCTCCTGCGCGTGGCCGTAGGCCTCAGAGATCTGCAATTAATAACGGTTTATAATAAAAATAAAAAATTAATAAAATCTGCATTGCTTGCGAATGCTTTTATTTAGTTTTTTAATTAAAAATATGTAATAGTCAAATTCAGAAACTCGATACATTCAATGAGATCGATAACCTGCATTCCCGTGGTAAATTGCCACCCCCCTGACAAAAGTTTGAAACAGTTGAAAGTTGAAATAGCTAAGCCTGAGTATATTAAAAGAATTGAAAAATTTTTAGATAAAATAATGCCTTTTCGCCGGCAGCATCGTACACCTCGTGGGCCTTGGCGGACGCAGCCTCGCTGCCCTGCTTCACCGACTCGACCAGACTGTCCGCCGCATGCTAAATATTCAGAAAATACATAAGGTAAAAAGTAACATTTTGCACGTTAATGATAGCCTGGATTTCAAGACTCAACGAGAACCCCATTAAGCTATATTATCGCTGACCTTTTACTACTCAGGATTGAAACACGAATTCTTAACCACGGGTTTCCAAAACGCTTTCTGCTAACTTGCTAACACATACGCTCTCTCTCTCTCTCTCCCTCACTCTCACTCTCACTTTTCCCAGCAACCCCTGATAGTTTACGGCTCCTAAATAACCCCTGCTGGCCTGCCGGCAATTCTTAAAAAAACCACTTTTGCAGCTTTCCTAAGAATCTCTGCCAGTTTGCCCTTATATTTGTCAAAAAGGGGAAAATCAACTTGACGAAAACGATGAACTGCTACTTTTTATGAACCACCGCTATAAACTACTGCTTTAAAACACGATAATTTTAACAAAAACATCTAAATACCTTGGTAACTTTGATTTACACTACTATTAAAAATAACCCTTTTACATAAATTTGATAACAAAAAAGTTTTACCTGCGCCTGTTCGGCGGCGTCGTGGAGGCCCTGCTTGGTCGATTCGAGGAGATTATCCTGAAAAATAGGTGTTTCAAGACATTTTAAACATCAAGCTACCATAACGCCGGTCTTTTTCTCGCTCAACTTGTCGACAGCCTCGGCGAGGTGTTCACCAACGCGGTGGTAGTCTTCTTTTAAGTTTTTCTGGAATTAAATTCGGGTTATGAAATCGTGCGAATTATACGCCGAATTACAGCCATTAAAACATTTTTTATGGCACCGATCTGGTGAAACGTTTTTTTTTTGGATGCTGGGAATTCAGTGCCTAAAAAACTCTAAACAACTGTGAAAATGTTGGCATTTTAGGCGAAAATCAATATTTTTGGATTTTTTCGTAAGGATTTGTAAAGTTGTGTTTTGTTCAGGAATAGTAATGCGATTTTAGAAACAGCTCCTTTTTTTGGAAAAATTCGAATGGCAGACAATGTGTCACTAACTGGTGTTAGGTGATCACGCAGGTTAGTTTTGTTTGAAGCATATTTTTTTTTAAAAAACGCCACCCACCACCGACTCGACTTCGGAGATGTCCTGCACCAGCTCGTTGACGCCTTCAACGAGTTTGTCCTGTAATTAAGTATTGATTTCTATTATTTCTATTTGGCTATTAAAAATTTGTCTGAAACTGAGCACAGCTCTAAAGAAATACCAGAACAGCTCGCGGTAAACTAATATGTTTCGAACCACAGAGAGATACAGATCGAACGATGTTGTTAGTATATCGCTTATTGCTACCCGAATTTTTGCACCAGGTTTTTGTGAGAATTCAATCTAATAATAAAATAAAATGTTAATAAGAACAATAATAACAAATTCAGAGCACTTAATATCATAATAAAACTAATTTAAAAATTACACGAGACTAGATAATGGGCCGCAGAGGGTATTCAAGTATTGACTGGTGTGAGTCAGTTTACGGTTACGCGATTGACGCAACATTCAATTCTTCCCGCGTTAAGAACAATATCATATGGTATAACGGTAATAAGTGGCAGAATTTGTCTAATTAATGCTTGGAGTGTATAAAACTTTCATTCATATAAAAATGTCCTTATCTTGGATTGATAAAAGATTGCAGCCGACCAAGTGGTTTAATCGAATCCTGACTTGAAAATGACGAAAATAAGTCGCTCTCTAAAAATCTGAACTGCAATTGATATCACAGTGGTGAATAACAGAGATACAGCTGAAACGGCATATTAAAGTGTGCTTTTATATAAAAGTAGATAAGAAACTAAAAACAATTTTTGAACACGAAATTTGGGGAATTTTGGACCTGGAGCAATTGCTCAGATTAAAGTCTACTTTTCAAACAAAAACACATGCACCGAAGAAAAATAGAGTTCTTGGAGGCGTCTTTGAATAACTCATGGAATTCTGCCGAGCTTAAAGTTTAAAATTTAAATTTAATGGATTTGAACTGCTACATTTTTAAGAGCAAGAAATCTATAAACAAGCTGTTAAAATGCCGGCAAGGATCAAAATTGTACACCTACTCTATCGACAAAGGTTCGGTTTTTAAAGCGAGTGAGATGCTGTATGACAGCCAAACTAGTTTATTAAAGTTTAAGCATTTTTACGATTAAAAACAAACATTTAAAAACATTTTTAAGCAAAAAAAATCGAGAATTTCGGGAATAAAGTGCGTACTCATTATTAGACAGCTTTTTTCCAGCCAAAATACGCACACCGAGGAAACATGGATTTTCGGCGGCCACGACCGCTAGGGGGCAAATAATGGCAGTCGACCAGGGTTGGGGGCAATTAATCAGGTGGCCGGGGGGCAGGGAGAAGCCATTCGAGAATGCATGACAACCAGCTGGGACCCAGAATGACTGGATCGCCCAGTGAAAAATATATGTCACAAGTAGGAGCCCAGATAAAAATGATGTTCTGATTTTAGTAGTGTTGTTTTTCGATGGCTTTTCCAAAAACGTGAGTTGGCGGGGTTTCGGGGAGACTTTTTCGTAACTTTTTAAAAAATACGGATCAATAAAAAACATGCACAAGATAAAGTATGTTTTACAAATATGTGTATAGATAAAAATTTTGATTTTGGTAGTAATGAATGATCTCTGCTTAACGGCTTATTGTTTTGGATTTTGGCAATCTCTGCCATTTTTGGCAATTTGTTAAAATATGGCGTTAAACCTATGCCGAAGTTTTGTATAGCTTTGCACTACAACGATATTGATTACCCTATGATATTGCGTTAAAAAAAGTATGTTACAAGAAGGTGCATAGAAAAAAATGTCGGACTTCAGTGGTTCAATTGCATTTGGTTGCATTGCCAGAGTTGGCCTAGGAAGATTCATTTACAAGTCGAGAAATGGTAATAATGTAATAGTAAGTGTTTTAATACGGTTGTTATTAAAATGTAACTATTTGCAAAGTTTTGGTCGTAATTTATAAAGTTTTGACGTGTACAGTTCGTCATGTAACCTAGGCTACTTCCGCTTTTTATTTTACAAAATTTAAACTTTAGGAATAGAACGTTGAGGCTTACAGGTCGAAAATAGCCATTAAAAAAACCCCCATAACACGATATATTTGGTAAGAAAATGTGCGGTCCGGGATTGTCGATTGTCCAACCACTCGTTTTATCCGCGTTTTTGCAACATTTAAATTTTCTTGCGACAATCCGCAAGGTGGTGGGTTTTTGTGCAGCAATGGATTTGCAAGGAAATTGGAATTTTGACGAATTTCTCCTAAAACTTTTTGATATCTGTGGCAAATATAATCTAGCTAGATGAAACTTCATTGAAAGTCGCTTACAAAAAGGAAGTTTCAAAAACTCGCATTCACTTCTGCGTAAAAAATTCGGTAATAGACAGCGGCTTTGAACCTAAATAAAAGCCTAAAGATTAAATCAACACAGCAAGGCGTAACGTTGTTTTAAAATGCATTAAAATCATTGCTATAAATTATATTAAATTCAATTCAGGAATTTAATAATATAGAACATACAAATTAAATATAACAATAGTCAAATACAAAACACCACTTAATAAACCATTAGTTGCTGCGCGAATTTTTCGACCGAATTCCGTATCGATTACAAACTATTTACTAGGTGCAGTATCTTAACTTAATATAATTGTGTTTAGATGCAGTTTTTGATTTTAATTTCTATTTACAATTCAATTGAGGTTATGAAATAAAAATAAAAAACAAAATCAGAAGATTTCAGCTAATTTACGATGTAATTAAATCAATAAATTCAATATTGACAAAAATATAGTAATAGGAAACCCGTGGGCCAGACGCCAGGGATACGATTTGTTTATAACCGGATGGGATGCATCGCGGGGGGCCGTGGGGCTGTATGCGATGCGGGGGTTTTGTGCCCTGGGGGCACGAAATTAAAGCCGGCCTGGGGAGGAGGAGCACCATCTCTCTCTCTCTCTCTCTCTCTCTCTCTCTCCGTCTCTCGATGCGTGGAGAGAAAGTTTAAAGTGTTTCTCCTAAAGACAAAACCACATCTTGGAGGGGGACAGGTCACTTTCGGGCCGCTCTCAAGGGGCGGCCGGCTCAATTACGTCCAGCTGGGCAGCAGGCCAATATGTTCGCGGGGAGGGAGAGAGAGTGAGAGAGAGAGAGAGAGAGAAAGAGAGAGATAGAGAGAGAGAGAGAGCAAGACAGGGAGATACAAACATACAATATCTCGAAATTAGGACTTTAAAGAGCGGGTTTTTGTGAAACATAAAATTCTACCATTTTGCTGAGGCTATTTTTGCACTTTCTTGACGCCCAGCTGACCAAAAGAACCCGTGCTAAATTCGATTAGTATTGCTCAAAAAACCTTACGTTCATCCAGGACCCCAAACTTCTACTTTTCTTAAGTTGTTTTTGATAAACATTAAATTTTTTGGTTTTTTGGTAAATACAGGGTGTCCCAAAAAAAAACCCCCCCCTCGGCATTTGGCCGTCTTCCATCCAATCGGGACCAAATTTTTACCAGTGATGGGGACCCATAAAAACTATGTGCAGCCGAATTTTCTAAGCAAAATATTGTAAAACAAAAAAGATATATCAAAATTAAGGTTTATTTTGCCGATTTCACTGGGATTTTGACGAATTTCGGCCTCGAAATGTTTAGCAAAAATGAAAAGGGCGCTCTTTTCTACCTGTAGAAATTTTTTTGATTTACGAAAATTACGTTTAAATTGGGCCTTTCGATCACTTTTTATTATCGAAATTGCCAGAAACTGACCGAGAAATGACCAATTTTTGGAAAATTACTCAAAATCGGCATGCTAATTGCGAAAACATAGCCAAAAAGGAGTACCAGCGTTTTCCAAAAATCAGTTTTTTAGCGATAACTTTTTGATTTTACAATATTTTGCTTAGAAAATTTGGCTGCACATAGTTTTTATGGGTCCCCATCACTGGTAAAAATTTGGCCCCGAGCCGATAGAAGACGGCCAAATGCCGAGGGGGGGTTTTTTTTTGGGACACCCTGTAGGTGTATTCTGCTAGAGCGTGAGAGAGAGTGAGCGATAGAGACAGAGAGAAAGAGAGAAAGAGAGAAAGAGCCGGATGAGCCGGAGAGAGCGGGTGAGAAGTTGACCAAAATCGAAGATTTACGTGAACCGACATTGTACTATACCGACTGTAAAATTTGGTTTAAATAATGGCGATGAAACATAAATCTGAAACTAACTTTCGGCGCTTTTCAAAATTTTTTGATGTATGGCCGCTTTAGCATTTAAAAACCGTGCTTTCGCCAAAATCCACAAAATCTTCCGAACAAACCTCCTCCCTCCTGGATTTCTTGGAAAAAGCGCGTTTCAGGGTTGATAGCATTGCAATCGGTGGTATTGGGGTAATTCCAGCACACACAGTGGGCAGTATAAAATCGTAATAAACTCCAAAAATGTTCCTAGCTGCTGGGTACATTAATTCTGGACATCATCGAGTTTACAGGGCCGGAATTTATCATTTTCGGGGGGTCCTTTCGAGCGGAATTTATTAGCAAAAAAAACCCTGGAAAACCGGTTGCCTAGAAAAAGTATTTTTGGGGTCGTGTGTTTTGAATAACTAAAATACCTGCTAAAGGCTGTTATTTTGATAAACAAAGGTTTTGAAAAAATTTTTACGTTAAAAATAGCTCAAAAAATGTTTTTGATGAAATTTTCCAAGAATAATAAAAAGATTTATACTTAAAGGTACACTAAAGTCTCGTTGGTTTGGTTACCGGCCGGTAACCGTCCGCGGGATAGCAAAGAGGGTCACGGTAGGCGCTCGCCGCAGAGCAAAACCGAAACCTGACGGCCAGCCTGGGGCAGCGCCTTACTGTAACCCTCTTATGTTGACCGTGGAATTTCGTTATGCGAGATAGCACATCTTGTGCAGAATTTTTCGCTGATTCCGAATCCGTTTTCAAAAGTTGCGGAACCCCTCGGAAAAACAGGTTAAAAATCGAATTTAAATTTGGGCGAATCTGGTCCATCGCGCCCCTGGGGGATTCAAAGAGGCTCCCCAACGCCACCCTCCCAGCAACTCGACGGTAAAATGGTTAGGGGCTGGTTTCTTGAGCAGGCTGTCACTGGTTCGACCCCTGCCGC